CAGACGCAACGCAAACGCGAAGAACAGATGACAACGATGAAGCAAAAGGCGACGATAGGTATAAAATGAAGTTTTCTTGGCGCTAGTTTTTGGAGAAGCGTATTGGAGAAGCTAATGTTATTCGCAAATTAAAAAAAAATTAATTAAAAAAACATTTCATTATATTATGGTCGGTCGTTCATATTATGTGGACGACTGTCCTTTACATAAGGGACGGTTGTCCAATCCTTACGGACGACCATCCATACATAATAGAGGCGTCCATTCCTTACGGATGCCCATCCAAACTTAAGGGGTGCCCGTCCACAATTTATGGAGGGGCATCCAAATTTTTTATTTTGTTTTTTTAAACCACAATAAGGGACATGCGTCCATTCCTTACGGACGCCCGTCCAAACTTAAGGGACGCCCGTCCACAATTTATGGATGGGCGTCCAAAATTAAGGGACGACCATCCATAACTGATGAACGGCCGTCCCTAAATGTTTTTTAATTTTTTAAAAAGAATTGTTAATAGACAGGCGTCCATTAAAATATGAACGCCCGTCTAATATTTAGGGACAACCGTCCATAACCTATGAACGACCGTCCCTAATTTTTATTAAAAAAAAAAAAATTATTCAATTTTACTGATGGACGAGCGTCCTTTAAATAGGGACGTCCGTCCGTAGTAAATAGATCCCGTCCATATAATATGGACGGGAGTCCATGTAAGTGAACGGTCGTCCATATTTGATAAACGGCCGTTCACTAGAAAAAAATAAAAATAACGTAAAACGTGTTTGGTTTATTGGTGTGAATCACGGGACACGTAGGCCGGTACAAGATTTCGGGGTAAAAATGCTGGTGTCCGTAGCATTATTGTTTTATTTTATTAATTTGGTTGAAAGTTTTTATTTAATTTCCCATATTAAAATTTGCATAGTTTGGGTATTAGGAATTAATGTATAAATTTCACTTTCACAATTAGGTTCTATTTATTTATTTGGTTTAAACCTTAATCGATAGTATGATACTGCCACCTGTCACCAAAATGTTTAGTCAATAAAAATCAAGTGAAAATTGATTGAGTAGAAAATCATATCAAAAAATATTCATTATATATAAACTCTGTCAAATATAAAATATAGGTGATTCTTAGAAACTTTTTTTTTATTATTATTATTATTATTGAACTATTTTAAATAAATAAAAATTATGTTTTCTTTTCATTATACTTTCCATTATTTTAAGAATAGATTTGCATTTCTCATATATATTTATACTCCGTATCTTAAACATAAATATAAAAAATATATAACATGGAATGTAGCTTTTACTCAAACCCTTAGACAAATTCCAACACCAATCTTTATTCATCATAAAACTGACAGTTTCTTTGTAACGAACATATATTTTTACACATTTTACCTGTCTTCTCCTATTACAAAATACTAATAAGATGCCATTTCTCTGCACAAACCTGCTCTGCAAATTATAAAAGCTTTCTCTCTTCAATTCCAGAAAACCATAAACTACCATCCATAACTAATATACATGAACTCTAGCCGAATAAACAGGCCCAAGTTCTATCTCAATCTTAAAGGACTACCGAGATTTTCGTAAATACTACATAAAACTTGTAATTTGTAAACCGTTACTGTTACAAGTTTTACATTTCAAGTTACATAATCCCTAAACCCAGTATTACTGGGACAAATTTCATTCACGCTAAATCTGAACACTGAACGATCAATCATAAGTAACATGGAGAGAGTTGGTTCTTGGCGACGGCGTCGGTGATCAAGTCCAGATACAGCATGGCTTCCTGTGGGAGAAGTCCTTCAAGGAAAACTTTAAACAAATGTGAGTGAGTCCCCTGCATCGTACTCACACACTGAACCAGTATTTTCTTCTGTTGCTCTTTGCTCATCTCTGTGGCCTGTACCAATGGCAGTAGATCCCTTTCTTCCTCCTCAAAATGCTCTTTACAATGCCCCTATCGACACCAATATTTGGACCCACAACCACAATCACAAAATTAAATCATCAAGCTTTGAATCTTGCCTTGTCAATCCAACTATGATTAAATTTAAAGCGTAACAGCAAATCAATGCCAATAAAAGCATATAAATAAAAACTTTAACATGGCCTACATTATCTATTCCTTTCTTTTTCAATGGTGCACAAATAAGGGTAAGGTTTCTCTTTCATTACTGCACATGTAACATTACCCCACAGCACAATACGATTACTTTAACAATGTATAGCCTCATTAGTAATATTCAGTGCGTATCTAACAGAACTGATATATACCTGTAAGGATTTGAGGCGAGCGGAAAGGTTGTAAAGAGCTTCTTGATAAACAGGGGTTCCGGAATCTAAAACTCCGATGGATTTGATGTCTTCTTTGATGCCATTCATTATGGGGAGGTGCTTTGCATGTTCTTCATTTGCACCCTTGCAAAGTCCTGTACAAATTTCATTATCAGCATTACATACATTGCCCATTTGCACAAAACAAGTAAAACTCAAGCAATGTTTAACTTTATTAATTAAAAAAAATCAAATAATTCTTTTCAAGTCATAATTATATCGTAATAACATAAACTATGTGATTGAACTGTTACAGCTATAGTGTCAATTTCATATTTAGGCCTATAAAAAGGATTAAAATCACTGTTTCCACCCACCAATTTATACCGTGAGTTTCATTGTCTCGTGTTCAAGATATAATAATCTAAATTAATTGTAATGAAAAATCTGTTGAATTTTAATCAATCTTTATTCCTAATCATAATGATCATGAAATCTCTAATTTAGTAAAATTAATAATCCTTACTTTTAGACATATTTTGATACAGTACAACGCGTTGCATGGTAAAACAGTAGAACTTACCTCGATCAGCCATTTCCAGCACCGGAAACACAACTCTCTCCTCCATTTGGGCGTGTTCTAACATCAACTCCAGCAGCTGCGAGTAGCTCTTCCCGAACTTCCTTATCTCCATCCTCGGACTCCCCACCGCCGGATCCACCGCCTTCTTCCCGCCACGTTTCGCCAGATCCTCCGCCCACCTCACAATCCTCTCTAGGTGCCACCTCACACTCTTGTGCTGCAGCACCACCACCCTCACTATAACCGGCGACGTCACGTCATCATAAACCTTCTCCCGATAATCATCCCTTATCACCGTCACCGCCGTCAAAGGCGGTTGAGGAAACCTGCTCTCCACGAAACGCAGCAGCGTTTCGCGATCTCCCGTCGCAGAGTCAAAACCGGCGCAGATTTGCACCGTGGTTTCCATATTAGAAGCAACAAACTGAGGAGAAACAGACTTATAAAGAAGCGCAAAACGAGTATAAGCGGTGAGAGAGCTGGTGGCGGAGCCGTACAACTTGACGGTGGGAGTGGTGGTAGGCGGCGGCGGCGGCGGCTTGATCTTGATGGAATCGAACTCCATTTCCGGCGTCGGAGTTAATTTCTTGGAGCAAGGCTTGGAATGGAACTCCATTTCCGGCGTCGGAGTTAATTTGTTTGGGCGAGCCTTGGAATGGAACTCCATTTCTAATCAGTTAACAACCTCAACAAATCTTTCTAATCTGGACAAATTTTGATCTTCTTATCTTCCTTTCCACTATAAAAAATTGTTTGATGAAAAATTTATAGCTTTCGTTCTTGTCACAGCAGCTGGAAAATGAGGAAGAAACGGCTGAGGAATGCAAACGCGAAGAACAGACGACAACGATGAAGCAGAAGACGACGATAGGTATAAAATGAAGTTTTCTTGGCGCTGGTTTTTGGAGAAGCGTATTGGAGAAGCTAATGTTATTCGCAAATAAAAAAAAATTAATTAAAAAAACATTTTGTTATATTATGGACGGTCGTTCATATTATGTGGACGACTGTCCTTTACATAAGGGATGGCTGTCCAATCCTTACGGACGGCCGTCCATACATAATGAAGGCGTCCATTCCTTATGGATGCCCATCCAAACTTAAGGGGTGCCTATCCACAATTTATGGACAAGCATCCAAATTTCACAATAAGGGACATGCGTCCATTCCTTACGGACACCCGTCCAAACTTAAGGGATGCCCGTCCATAATTTATGGATGGGCATCCAAAATTAAGGGACAGCCGTCCATAACTGATGAACGGACGTCCCTAAATGTTTTTTAATTTTTTTAAAAGAATTGTTAATGAACGGGCGTCCATTAAAATATGAACGCCCGTCCAATATTTAAGGACAGCTATCCATAACCTATGAACGACCGTCCCTAATTTTTATAAAAAAAAAACTATTCTATTTTACTAATGGACGGGCGTCCCTATTTTAGGGACGCCCGTCCGTAGTAAATGGATCTCATCCATATAATATGGACGGGAGTCTATGTAAGTGAACGGCCGTCCATATTTGATAAACGGCCGTTCACTAGAAAAAAATAAAAATAACGTGAAACATGTTTGGTTTGCTGGTGTGAATCACGGGACACATAGGTCGATACAAGATTTCGGTGTAAAAATGCCGGTGTCCGTAGTATTATTGTTTTATTTTATTAATTTGGTTGAAAGTTTTTATTTAATTTCCCATATTAAAATTTGCATATTTTGGGTATTAGGAATTAATGTATAAATTTCACATTCACAATTAGGTTCTATTTATTTATTTGGTTTAAACCTTAATCGATAGTATGATACTGCCACTTGTCACCAAAATGTTTAGTCAATAAAAATCAAGTGAAAATTGATTGAGTAGAAAATCATATCAAAAAATATTCATTATATATAAACTCTGTCAAATATAAAATATAGGTGATTCTTAGAAACTTTTTTTTTATTATTATTATTATTATTGAACTATTTTAAATAAATAAAAATTATGTTTTCTTTTCATTATACTTTCCATTATTTTAAGAATAGATTTGCATTTCTCATATATATTTATACTCCGTATCTTAAACATAAATATAAAAAATATATAACATGGAATGTAGCTTTTACTCAAACCCTTAGACAAATTCCAACACCAATCTTTATTCATCATAAAACTGACAGTTTCTTTGTAACGAACATATATTTTTACACATTTTACCTGTCTTCTCCTATTACAAAATACTAATAAGATGCCATTTCTCTGCACAAACCTGCTCTGCAAATTATAAAAGCTTTCTCTCTTCAATTCCAGAAAACCATAAACTACCATCCATAACTAATATACATGAACTCTAGCCGAATAAACAGGCCCAAGTTCTATCTCAATCTTAAAGGACTACCGAGATTTTCGTAAATACTACATAAAACTTGTAATTTGTAAACCGTTACTGTTACAAGTTTTACATTTCAAGTTACATAATCCCTAAACCCAGTATTACTGGGACAAATTTCATTCACGCTAAATCTGAACACTGAACGATCAATCATAAGTAACATGGAGAGAGTTGGTTCTTGGCGACGGCGTCGGTGATCAAGTCCAGATACAGCATGGCTTCCTGTGGGAGAAGTCCTTCAAGGAAAACTTTAAACAAATGTGAGTGAGTCCCCTGCATCGTACTCACACACTGAACCAGTATTTTCTTCTGTTGCTCTTTGCTCATCTCTGTGGCCTGTACCAATGGCAGTAGATCCCTTTCTTCCTCCTCAAAATGCTCTTTACAATGCCCCTATCGACACCAATATTTGGACCCACAACCACAATCACAAAATTAAATCATCAAGCTTTGAATCTTGCCTTGTCAATCCAACTATGATTAAATTTAAAGCGTAACAGCAAATCAATGCCAATAAAAGCATATAAATAAAAACTTTAACATGGCCTACATTATCTATTCCTTTCTTTTTCAATGGTGCACAAATAAGGGTAAGGTTTCTCTTTCATTACTGCACATGTAACATTACCCCACAGCACAATACGATTACTTTAACAATGTATAGCCTCATTAGTAATATTCAGTGCGTATCTAACAGAACTGATATATACCTGTAAGGATTTGAGGCGAGCGGAAAGGTTGTAAAGAGCTTCTTGATAAACAGGGGTTCCGGAATCTAAAACTCCGATGGATTTGATGTCTTCTTTGATGCCATTCATTATGGGGAGGTGCTTTGCATGTTCTTCATTTGCACCCTTGCAAAGTCCTGTACAAATTTCATTATCAGCATTACATACATTGCCCATTTGCACAAAACAAGTAAAACTCAAGCAATGTTTAACTTTATTAATTAAAAAAAATCAAATAATTCTTTTCAAGTCATAATTATATCGTAATAACATAAACTATGTGATTGAACTGTTACAGCTATAGTGTCAATTTCATATTTAGGCCTATAAAAAGGATTAAAATCACTGTTTCCACCCACCAATTTATACCGTGAGTTTCATTGTCTCGTGTTCAAGATATAATAATCTAAATTAATTGTAATGAAAAATCTGTTGAATTTTAATCAATCTTTATTCCTAATCATAATGATCATGAAATCTCTAATTTAGTAAAATTAATAATCCTTACTTTTAGACATATTTTGATACAGTACAACGCGTTGCATGGTAAAACAGTAGAACTTACCTCGATCAGCCATTTCCAGCACCGGAAACACAACTCTCTCCTCCATTTGGGCGTGTTCTAACATCAACTCCAGCAGCTGCGAGTAGCTCTTCCCGAACTTCCTTATCTCCATCCTCGGACTCCCCACCGCCGGATCCACCGCCTTCTTCCCGCCACGTTTCGCCAGATCCTCCGCCCACCTCACAATCCTCTCTAGGTGCCACCTCACACTCTTGTGCTGCAGCACCACCACCCTCACTATAACCGGCGACGTCACGTCATCATAAACCTTCTCCCGATAATCATCCCTTATCACCGTCACCGCCGTCAAAGGCGGTTGAGGAAACCTGCTCTCCACGAAACGCAGCAGCGTTTCGCGATCTCCCGTCGCAGAGTCAAAACCGGCGCAGATTTGCACCGTGGTTTCCATATTAGAAGCAACAAACTGAGGAGAAACAGACTTATAAAGAAGCGCAAAACGAGTATAAGCGGTGAGAGAGCTGGTGGCGGAGCCGTACAACTTGACGGTGGGAGTGGTGGTAGGCGGCGGCGGCGGCGGCTTGATCTTGATGGAATCGAACTCCATTTCCGGCGTCGGAGTTAATTTCTTGGAGCAAGGCTTGGAATGGAACTCCATTTCCGGCGTCGGAGTTAATTTGTTTGGGCGAGCCTTGGAATGGAACTCCATTTCGGGGGTCGGGGTTAATTTCTTGGAGCGAGTCTTGGAGGGAGAACAACAGTTGTTTCCCATAAGGATGTGGTGGAGTAAATGGTGAGATAAAGGGAGAAGAAAAAAAAGGGGAAGAGTGTGATGGAAGAAAAGACAAAGAGACAAAAGTTGGGAGTGGAGGAAGGGGGAAGGGAAGGGAAGGGAGGGTTAGTTTTAACTAACAGAAAAGGAAGGAGGAAGAAAGTGAGACAGTGGGTTCAGTGTAAGGACAGAGTGGAAGGGGATAAAAAGAGAAGGGGGCTTAAGTGGTAAGTTTGGTTGTTTTTTTCTTTTTTTTTTTTGTAAGGGATATGAATTATCTGCTGCTTGGGTTTGTAACAATTTCCCCCTCAATGGCTGGGGAAAATATAACTCACTCAAATATTTCAGAAAGTAACAAATGCACCCACAAACTCGATAGCCGTTAATGAAATTCATTATTTTACTATATAAAAACCCGTTTGTAATATTCTTTTTTTTTATTATTATTATTTCCACTATCTAATATGATATAGAAGTAATTAATAATGGTTTGGGGGTCCAGAAGATAAGATTTATGTTCTATTATAAATTTATAATTAGATTCGGTTAATATCTGTCAACTTTTGGCGTGTGTTTGTAACTTTTCATAAATTTTGGGTTTCTATGTATTTTTAAAAAACTATAAGGAAGAAACTAATTCTCTCTCCTGCTGGGTTGGTACGCTCCTTGATGACGGCTGTGGTTCGTTTTCTACTTTTCTTCTTCTTATGTCCGTTAGAGGAGGAAGACTTACATTTCTTATATAGGGACATTTTTGTCATACACATATTAATTGTCAATAAATGAGTAATAATAGTAATAAATTCATAGGATGATATTGGATTTCAGAAGCATCTTAGTCACACAAATATAAACATAATAATTAATTGTATCGTGGAAGGTTTTCGTTATATTCTAATTTTATTGATTTAATTATATTAATTTATTAACATTTTCATTTAATTAAATTATAATAATTATTATTTCATTTCAATTCAATCCAACTAGTATTTGTAAAATAAAGATAATTAAAAAAAAAANATTAATAATGGTTTGGGGGTCCAGAAGATAAGATTTATGTTCTATTATAAATTTATAATTAGATTCGGGTAATATCTGTCAACTTTTGGCGTGTGTTTGTAACTTTTCATAAATTTTGGGTTTCTATGTATTTTTAAAAAACTATAAGGAAGAAACTAATTCTCTCTCCTGCTGGGTTGGTACGCTCCTTGATGACGGCTGTGGTTCGTTTTCTACTTTTCTTCTTCTTATGTCCGTTAGAGGAGGAAGACTTACATTTCTTATATAGGGACATTTTTGTCATACACATATTAATTGTCAATAAATGAGTAATAATAGTAATAAATTCATAGGATGATATTGGATTTCAGAAGCATCTTAGTCACACAAATATAAACATAATAGTTAATTGTATTTGATTGTAAAATAAGTTTATTTTCATATTTAATTATAATAATTCACTAACATTTTCATTTAATTAAATTATAATAATTATTATTTCATTTCAATTCAATCCAACTAGTATTTGTAAAATAAAGATAATTAAAAAAAAAATACTCAAATTGGGATATTATTATTATTTGATTGATGAGTATAAATTTAAGTTAAATATTAAAACTGATATAATATGAAGTATTCTCTTTTAAAATTAAGATTAGATAAATAGATATGATAAGACTATTTTTCCCCTGGTGCATGTGCATTTAACAACTGCTGACGTGTTTCAATCTGATTTAATACACATGCAGAGTAAGTCACGCCCAAATCGTGCGTATGTAATTTCATTCCCGAAAATGCTAAAAGTAACTCATCAAACAATTGAATCTAAAGTGCACATCACATGCCCTCCTCTCAATTATGTTTTTAACGTGCTCACATCTTTTTTTTTATTTTTAAAAGGGTCATTTTTTTTTTTTTATGTAATTTTCTTTCATAATTTAATGAAATTCTCTCTTTTTTTTTTTATGTAATTTTCTTTCATAATTTAATGAAATTCTCTCTGTCTTTGAATTTAATCAAAAAACAAAATTTCTCCCTACCTTATTTATTTTAATACTAAATACTTAACAATAGAAGGATTTAGTTATCACTACACCCATATGGTGTTTTTCGTTATTCAAGTATATCTAAGTAATAATAATTTATTAATAAATTTTTATTTTTATATTTTGTATCAAATAATAGTACTTAATTATTTGATGAATTTTTTTTTTAATAATTATAAAAATATTTGGAATTAATATATAATTAGAAAATAGAAATGGGCATCTTAGAAAGAGGGATTCATCAAATCATAAACAAATAACTTTTTAATTACAGAATATAAAGAATTAAATATTTTTTATATTCTCGTAGATTTCAGATGATTATTTTATATTATCTCAAGTCTCAACCTGATCATTTCATGCGTGTCTTCATCAAATCAATCATTTTGGAATTCACTAAATACCCGTTTAATTAGTGATATTATTATCAAATCCCCAATTATCCATTTTTTAAATAATATTTAGTAGCCGTTAGATTGGGTGATGATTGATGCGGCATTTAGGACACACAAGGAGCCTCCTGAAAGAGACCCAAATACGCTGATCGCCCGTCTTTATCGGGTCAACTTTTATTTTTCCTTATATTAAATATGAATTGTATCACTATATCTTAGATCCTGATTCATAATTTATTATTACTAGTGATATTACCGATACACCCATATGCTTATTTTCATGTATATGAATTGATAATGTTTTGCCCAATTAGAGAAATTACTGGTGAAAGTTTTGATAAAAATAATGAGAGAATTTATGTTTTGGCTTAATTCTAACCCAAGTAATTAGATGAAGTATGAGTGGAGGTGGATAAAAGTATTGATAATGCAGAAACTTTGGAATTAATCTTTACCTATGTTTGTTTGGTGTGACCAAACTTTACTTCTTGTAGAGGTCTAATTTTATATTAAATGCCCACCTTTAATTCTAAATTAATTAACATCAAAACCACTCACTATAATCTAACCAGCCTTAAATTTAGGTAAATTATGTTCAAATAATAAATTCTATATTTACAAATATTATAATTCTTATGAGAATTCTATTCACACCTAATAATTTCATAAAAACAAGTTTAGAATACTTTATATTATATTCAAGCAACAAAAATCTAATGACCAAATCTCTTCAATGTGTATCACTAACATTTACATCTACTAGGAAGTAGGCTGTTTTTTTTTTTTTTTTTTTGGTGATTAGGATGTTTGGATTAGCTTGCGCACATCTTATCCAATCTTTCAAGACCCTGAAGTGAACGACCGAATAAACTCCTTCAATGACCACCTCTATTAATGCCTAAGAGCAATACTTTAAAACCCGGCCCGGCCCGACCGGTTTAACCGGTTCAATCAGGACCTGGAAGTTTCAATTGGTCGGGTTTATATTTTTCCTATTCACCCAAAACCCTAGGATTTGGGAGGATGATCAACGGACAATTGACGGTCGGGATGTTAGGGCTTTTGAAGAGAAAATGACGGTGAATGCAATGGTGGTGACAGAGTTTATTTCCGGTGAGTAAATCAATCGAAAATCGAACAAAACTGGTAATAGCAACAACCAGCTTTTGCCGGCGATTGGCGAGGCTAACGGGGGTGGGGATGTCGACACCGGCGTTGGTAAGATCTGGCTGAAATCGAACCTATTTCGGCTAGATCTTGGGTATATTTTAAAGAGAATGGGCTCAAGGGACGATTTAGGTTGCATCTGAGGTGTCGTCGGCCGATTTATGTTTGAGGTGTGTTTGCTAAATTTTAAACCTATAGGGACTTAAAAATTATTAGGAGTGTATTTACTAAATTTTAGAAGTTTTTGTCAACCGGTTTGACTGTTAGTGGTTAAACCGATCAACCCGAACCCAAAAATTTTGTTAGGTTTCACCCCGAGTTGGGTTTTAAAACATAGTCTAACAAGAGTCAAACTCAAGAACACATGTTAGACATTTTTGCTCTTTTATCATCAAACCACTTACTAGTGATTAAATGATATTGGTTCGATAACATTATTACTGGAAGACTAGGATCAGCAACATAACAAACATTCTTAAACTTTGGATAAACTAAGATTTGGAAGCAAATCAACTAGTTGAGCATATAATAATCAGGAATCATACAAAACATTCACCAAACACATTAAAAAATGATGACAAGAGAACCTACAGAAATAATAATAAAATCAATTGAGCCATATTCTCAAATGAGCAAAAAAGTGTTCCAAATTCTAACAAAACATATCCTTTACAGTATTAACAAAACCATCAGGTACTACAGAATACAGACAGATAGTTGGATTCTACAGTATTAGCACCAGTGGTCACATACACAGCCAGAAACTCATCTTCTATCTTTTTATTCCATTTTTTTTTTTTTTGTACATAGAACGTGAAAAACAGTGAATGCTATTAAGGCTAGGTTTTGGTTTGCCCCCATCAACACTTAAATCCTCCACAGGCAATAAACCAAAGTATGAGGATTAGGATAAGAATTCCGCCTCCTATCATCAGTTTCATTTGGAGATTCTGCAGCCACATTTTTCGCCGGAGTTGCCTGCCTTGTCTCTGGAAGCTGTCCGCCTAAAAATCAAGATAAAATGCGATTTCAGTCATAAACTTCCTCCAAATCCCTTTCATGTATGTAAGACCAAAGAGATCAAAATAGGTACCTGGAACTGTAGGTTTTCAGTTTTGTCCACAAGTAGCTCAATCCTCTCCCCACGATCCAAAACCTGCTCAAAAGGGAAAATGAAATTTTTTATTGGTTTAAGATCAACAATGGAAAGCTCATGGATTGGCCTACTTTATGATAGATAAAATGATGTCTTATTTATAGTACAAAATCTTCACAAAGACCAAGCTCCCCAAGAGAGAGAGAGAGATCCTCAGCCTTTGAATTTCTTTCTCCATGATGACAAATTTCCTTTGCATTCTACCAATCTAGATAATGCAAAGATGTTTTCGAACACCTAGTATATCATACATGGATTGTCTACACTTTTCAATACATTAGATTTGATAAGAAAACACGAGGATGGTGCCATTTTCACAATGGTATGGGTGTGGATGAGACCATTGAATTCAGGAGGTGTGTCTGGCATATGTTTGATGAAGAAGAAGATGAACAAGAACTAAACTAGGTTAGTGGTTGATACATGAAACAAGGAAGTGGTTTGGACCTATGGCTTTGGAAGGAACTACTTTTGGCTGTTGAGTCACAGTTTCCTTAAGAGAAGAAAAATTTGCGTCATAATTGAAATTTTGTCCTATCTTTTGAAGATCAGGTGATTGAATCATCATGATGGATTGAACATGAGAAGTATGAACAAGGGTGAGTTTTGCTATTTTTACCATTATCAGAATATTACTACGTACTCGTTACAAACTTATCAGATGATTAAATATCTCTTACAGTCGCAGATGATTAAAGATCTCTTACAGTCGGATTTGTCACGTTTATCTAAAATACTACGGGTCTTAAAATAAATGTTTATGTCCTTTATGTTTATCTGTAAAATATATGTGGACCATATTGATAAAGTGGGCTTCGGTAGAATTCACTCCCAAAAGTTAGCTCAAGGGAGGAGGGAGCTCAACTATTTATATTCACCATAACAACCCATTATTAGGGCGATGTATGACAAATTCAACTTTTAATACCCTCCCTCACGCTCGGCGTGCAAAGATGGGGTCTAAACCTATTATCACTCCAACCAACGAGGAGAGAGAAACAAACGTGGCTCTAATACCATGATAAAATGAGCTTGGGTAGAACTCACTCTCAAAAGCTAGCTCAAGGGAGGAGAGAGCTCAACCACTTATATACATCATAATAGCCTACTATTGGGGCGATGTGGGACAAATTCAACTTCTAACACATATGACAGTTTGCTATATCAAGTATAATAACTCTTGTGTGAAATAAAAAAGTCAACAATTGTAGGCATAGTGTAATAAATGTAAAAACAAAAAAAAAAAAAAAAAAAAAGTAAAAAATATCAACCCATGTATTAAATGTATTTTAATTCTCTTTCTCTCACATGATGGTAGTATTCCACGTGGATGTAAGCTCTTTGTATTTGCCTATAAATAAGAGGTTTTCTTCTTGTTTTGAGGGAGGAGAACAAGTTGTGTACAAATTTCTCTTCCATATTTTCTTTCCATGTTTCTCTTATACTCTTAAACTCTCTTTCAACCTCAAGGATGTAGTAATATTCTGATAATGGTAAGAATAGCAAAAAAATCTCCCATATCATTTTCATTTTTGCTTCTAATGCGCTTTTATTTCCACTAGTAATTTTAGATGATGTTAAAAGGTGTGTGGGTGTAAGTGTGTGTGGAATAAGAGGAGAGCCTTGACCATAGATTCGACCGATCGCTATGTTGATCGGCTATCTCCATGTAAGTCGACTATCATAGTTTCCCACATGCATAAACTCTAAAACCTTTTGGCACCATCTTATCTGGGAAAGTGAAGAGGTAAGTTGAGAAATGTTGGGAATGAAATTGCGCATGTAATTGCCAATTCCCAAGATGAATAAAGAAATCAGAATTCTTCCAGAGTGAATGGGAACATTTGGTGAGAAAATCTACATGAGAATCTGCACAAGATTGGGAGATAGGCTGGAGTTTGATTTGCTCACAAAGTTCTTGGTTTCGATTTTAGATAAACATGACAAATCCGACTGTAAGAGATCTTTAATCACCTGACAAGTTACAACAACAAGAGACCTTTCAGGAAAAGTGATGTTACAAGGCTTTCTATTAAATAGAAACCTAAGACACAACTAGATCTATGTTTGTTCAACATCGATTCTATAAATGTTCCTAGACTTTTAACACCCAAGTCTGCCATAATCCAGTTCAGTTTCAAACAAAATCCACCATGCGGTTATAATAGAATTCTCCTTCCTATCTCAAAGTGTTCATACTTTATATTCTTATGGGTAAACTTCATGCGCCTTCCTTCAGATTTGCCTTAATTATAAGTAGATAAGCCTGGTTTGAAATATAGGAAACGAATTTGTAAAAACTAGATCACTCTAGAAGAACTAATTCAAGAAAATTACTGTGGTTGATAAGATGACTCATACTTCATACAAGAAAATTAAACACAAACACAATAGAATTTGAAAAATCAATCTTCTTCAACAATGATCTTAACTCATGTATTTCATTCATTTATCAACTCCATCTCATGTGTACTTCGCATTACATGTTGGTAAAACCTCCTTTTATTAGACTAATAATGATAACAAGGCATATGATGGGAAATACGTAAGAGATACAAGGGATATGAAAAGTGTAAAATTAGTAGATGTAGTAGAGTAGTGAAAGAAGGATAACGTCATTATATGAATTTATCAAATTCATACACACACACACACACACACGATGATAGATGTCCACAAGATTCATGTAAATCATTACATTTCATCTCTTCATTACTTCTATACAAGTTACACCCTTTCATTAATCCACTACCTTCCCTTTCTTTTTATAGTGACCCACTTTATACATGCTTATAAATTTAAGCTTTAATAAGACTATAAAAGGAGGCGTTATCACCATCATTTTTATTCACAAGAATGAATCATGAGCTGTGATCACATATAACTTCTCATGTGTATATTTCATTTTGTGTTTAGAATGATGATGGTAAGACTTCTTTTTGTACTAAATCTACAACTTTCATGTACCCACTATTTCTCACATAATGTCCATTAGATACTTTCATTATGGTTTTAAACCTATAAAAAGATGTGTCACGAACATGATTAGTACACATAGATGAGTAAAAGTTGATATATACTTAGAAACATGAGTTGAGATCTAGATTGAAGAACACTCAATTCTAATTCCAATAATGTATATGATTATCTATTACTGGCTTCATATATAACATTTGCAACACCTAATGTGAGCATATCTCTCCTCTAACCATTAACATATTAATCACGCTTCACAAAAGCAAATATATAGGCACAATTTTAAAGTAACAAATGAATAAATATTTGAAACTTCATGTAGGATACATCTCTTATAAGTCTCATGACTAGACCTCAAAAAGTGAATACTATAGACAATAGTGTATTACTAATGTAGAGTGTAGGAGCATAGAATAAAATAAATAAATGCCACACCAACATGTCACACAATAAGTGTGATGTACTAAGAAAGGAGGGAAACAATTTTCTGGCTTAAGAGAGCCAACTATAAAAACACGTTTAAGATAGATAAAAAGGGGCAAGGGGGAATCATCAAGAAAGGAGAGAGATCTTCTTAAAAAGCTCACTAGAACTTTCCCCTAATTTCTGACCCTTTCCCAGATTTTTTCTAACTTTCTTGGCAACCAAACACCCTGCAAATTACTTTAAAGCTATAGAAATCAAATGTATAGATATTCCATTTTATGAGGAACTTTGTAACGAGAAAGGTTCATAGAACTTGTTTCCAAATGGCTTTGTGAGGTACCATATCCAGAACAAGAAGATTTTCATTTGATTTCCTTAGTTTTGAAGTAATTTGGAGGTGTTTTAGTTGACAAGAAAGTTAAGAGAAAAATTGGGAAACGATTAGAAAATAGGAGACTGTTGTAGAGAGCTAAGAGAACCTTTTAAGAAATATCTCTATTTAATGCTCCTCCCCCCTTTCTCTATCCTAATTGCGTTTTTATAGTTGAGCCCTTAAAGGGAAAAAAGTGTTTTCCTTCCTTTCATTAGTATGTCACACTTTTTGCTTGACTTGCTAACGTGTCATTTTTAATTTTATTTTATGCTCCTACAACTAGGCTTTGGGCACTATCTTCCACTTCACTTTTCTTTTTTTTTTTTTCATTTGCTCTTCAATCTTTAAGAGTTCTTATTTCTAGAAATCATTGTTCTCTCTGTTTCCAAGGGTTTTAAATGTAAACTCCAAGAGTCAAAGCCTCAAAACATCATTATTTTTCAAAAGTCATTGTCATCTCTATTCCTTAAGTTTCATAAATAACTTCTCTAAGTTAGTTTAAAATATATAACAAACCTTTTATATAAGTTGTTTCTATGCTGTTCCTTTTTTTGATAGGAAACACTAGTATACTGATGTATAAAAAAGGGATACAAAGGTGGACCAGTTGTCCACTGAATGCAACTTAAGAGCTTTACAAAAAACTCAAAAATCTTGTGTATATGAACACAAAAAGGGAGAGAAACTACAGTATCCCAAAAACCACAAAAACAAAACACATCAACTCAAAACCCCTATCCGGTTATGAAAAATTAAGAAAAAATAGGTATCTTGGAAATCTCTTGTAATAGACACCCACAGATGGAATATGAATGAAATTCAAGGAAACTTTGTTACCTTTTGGAGTTCGTTCTATAACCTGTTTCTATGTTGTTCTCATGGAATATGAGTTTTGTTACCTTTTGGCATTTGTTGTGTAAGTTGATTCTATGCCGTTCTTATGGAATATGAATGACATTTTTTTACCTTTTGGATTTTGTTATGCAAATTTTACCTAGGTGTAATGCCTTGGGTTTTGAAGAGTGACCGTGTGTCACCCAAGCTGTGAATCTATGCAATTCAAAACTAAAAACAGCAATAAACAAAAGAGCAAACACCTAGACTGTGCCTTAAATTGATCCATCAACTTCCCATATGAAATAATATTGTAATTTTTTTTTTAAAAAGACCACTGATCATGGGAGCAAAACCAAATCCATCTCAGAATATGTTTTGAAAAATGCAATTTTCATCTTGTTTCTACCACCTTCAAATAATTGATGCCCATTATCAGCCCTTTCTAATACCATAAAATGCCCAAGTGAAGCCTAGAACAAGCTAGTGTGTTAACAACTCAAATATTACTATTAACAACTAAAAAACTAAGATTTTAAACCAAATTCAACCATCAACATTAGGTTACTGAAACATGGGAATTTCCCTTCTTATGAGAAGATAAATCTCAGGTAACTTTGAGAAAGTATTGTGTCCAAAAACATGCACAATGGCAACATAGTCAAACTATCCCTTGCCAAAAATTTCAATATATCATTTGGTTAAATTAGTTAAATAGTACCCATCTCCATTGCAGTTTGACATCTCTATTTCTAACAATATAAATATATCCACACAAGTATTGCAACACTTCACCAAAATAAGTCATATCTCAACTCAAGCTTCTAAAATAAAAAGCAAATAGCATGATCGAAATCTATATGATACCCAAAATGATAAAGGTATGATTCCATTTATTTCATTACATGTAAATATCCCCATTTCCTAAACTAATTTTCAAGAAAGAAAAAAAATTACCTTCTCAATATTGTCCATCATAATCCCCTTGACCTCAGTTATTTGCGCCTTTAATTTCGCGAGCTTGCTTATCTCTTCTGGGTGGTCCATACAATATTGCATGTGCTCTTTAAGCCTTGGCCTACAAGTTATGGCAGAACATTAGAAGCTAATATAATACTGTAATGGAACACACAAACACTTCGACATAATCAAGCACAAACGAACCCAAATTCTCTGTCAAGATTGTACGCAATGCTAAATCGATCTTCAAACAAATCATCATCCTCATCATCATCAGCAAGAGGATGTGAACCCTCATTCTGAATATTAGCACTATAACGCTGTTTAAAATCATCCTTCACTCGCTCAAGAAATACAAAGGGCACATTCCTCCCAACCGATTCATCTGCAACGACAAGAAATACTGCACCAAATACCAAAAAAACAAAGCATTTTCAACAACACAATTTCCTACATCAAAAGTAAAAAATCCAAAACAAATCCAGAAAAAATTACATCAACCTTCTCTAATGTTGCGCCTAATTACAGGCAAACCCTCTAGTAATCCTCCAAAGTTTTGAAAATTTTCATAAACCTTCCCTAAACTTTTACCACAAATTTTCTTTCACGTTTCATAAAATTTATCAAAACTCTAAAACTTATAAGAGACATTCCAGCCTCTTCTCTGCCTGTAATTAGACCAAACCTCAGATTCCAATGCAATCACCATTAAAAATCTACATTAATAAACAGAAAAAGAAAAAGAAAATACCGAATCCAGAGTCAAGGAGGAAGTTAAAAGTGTGGCCATCGCACGAATATGTATACTTGCTGCTATTAGAAGGCAATTTCTGCAAACATTGAACGGCTATGGTACTGAAATTTCCAGAGTACGATGTGTGTTCCGCTAAAACCACAGTCCCTTTTGCAACAAAGCTGTATATCAAACCGTTCTGATTCATCTCTCAGTTAAATCTACAAACACAGCAAAAATTAAAAACCCACATAAGAAATGCAACAAAATCTGAAAAAACAACAACAAATAAAAGAAAGAATCACAAAAGCAGTAGATGATCTAACCGGAGGGTTTGCGAATCTGAAGTGGAGTGAAGTGAATTGAACCCAGAAACGGAAAGGATTTGAAAGAGTTTGGAATCTTAAGTATGCTGTGTTATTGCTTCGTGTTTAAGGGTTCGATGAAGGTATTGAATTAGAGACGTGGCCCAACTGAGTTTAAGACCGTGGAATGAATCGTTAACGTCTTGTTTTGTTTGTTAAGAGAAGAGAGAAATGGGTTTACAGTAAGAATATAAAAGATTTGGACTTTATTGTCATTTGTGTAGTCGCCTCTCTTTGAAGGAACCAAAGAGTGAAAATGTGAAATTGTGGAAGTGAAATTCCTTAGAATCACGTTTGGCTTTTGCTAATCAACAATTCAAAAAAAAAAAAAAAAAAAAAAGGCAGTTAGATCGGAAAAACTTTAGTAATAATTTGTAGCATACCCATCTAATGTGACTAAATTACACTTATATGTTCAATTTGCACGTAAAATAAATATGTATATCCGTTCAGTAAGTACTTTTAGTGGGTGGGTTCAAAATCTAGAAATTTAATTTTCTAATTTCAAATTATTTATTAAACTCAACAAAAATCTATAACTTATTATCTTTATCATTAAAAAAGACTAAAAAGAAGCCTCAAATCTTATAACTTAAGGTTTTTCAAAATTTTTACTAATCTAATAAAATTAGACTCATAAATCCATGAAAACATTAAATTTAACTCTAAATATTAAGTAATTAACTAATATATCAAAATTAAACCAAATCTCCAAATCTCTATAACTTAGGGTTTCATCAATTCTTTAAATCTATTAAATATTAACTAATAATTAATCAAATTTTATCGAACTTAACTTAAAATAATAATTATTAATCCCTCCTTAACAAAAACAAGATTAAATCAAAACCACATCAAAATTAGGAATTTAATCTTTAATTTCAAACCCATTATTAAACTCAACAAAACTCATAACTTATGATTTTCATCAATTAAGAAAACTAAAATAAAATATTTTTAAGCACATAAAAATGACCATCATCTTACATTGTCACCTTCGAAGGAATAGCATTTCGAGTAATCTAATTAAAGGAAGAAAAAATATGAGAGAGGGAGGAAATGAATTTAAGTGTTAATTAATACAATTTTTTATGGGGTCAATAGGAATTTAAGTAGGGTTAAAGTTGTAAATTCCACAATATACAAGGTCGTTCAATTGAACCCACAAGCTTTGTTTTAAAAATCGGACTGGTGGACCAGGACCCGTAGTTTGGGTCCAGTTCAGGTATTAGGGGGGTTTTGTAATATTTCAAAATATAAGGGCTATTTGGTGATTTATAGCGGTATTTGGAGGATATGTCAAAGTTAGGGATAGTTGGTAATTTGGGGGTATTTTTGAAATAAATACAGATTTTAGGGACTGACAAACTTTTTAGGGAAATTTTGTAATATATTAAAATCTAAAGGATTAATATGTAATTTTTAAAAATAAAATATCGCTGACGTCATCAGTCCAACCAATTGACCTGGGCAGCAAAACGGTTACGCTAAAGTGTGGTGTGGCTGCTGATGTCATCAATCCAACCAATTGACCTGGGCAGCAAAACGGTTACGTCACAAGTGTGAGTGTGGCTACATGCCTGCATCCATTCAATGCGTGCAAATCAATTAAATGTCTAACTATGTTTAAGATGATACAAACACTTTCGACAATTCCAGATAATATAAACTATAGGATTTGAATCAACTTTTAACATGCATAAGATGGAAAGATCCAATATTAATTGGAGCGGTAAGATGATTATTCTGTTTTGTAAAAGTAAAATTCACCTTTATAGATTGTGGTTTCATATTTATACATTATCTGAAATTATATTTTATTATGAAATAAGGTTGAGTTCAATCTAAATACTTCACAATGCATCTAGTATACATTTCACTTTCATAAAAATATAAATATATTGCTCCTGTTATATTGTAGCTATAAGTTAAAACATGATAATATAGTAATCTGATATCAATAATTTCATCCGGTTTTTAATGAAGAATTTGATACTTTATGTCTGTATGGTAAAACCATCAGTTGAACCGGTTCAACCGGGACCTGGGTTTTCTTTGGGTGGGTTACCAATTTCAATCGTTCATGGCAAACCCCAAAGAGAAGCATGAAGATAGGCGAGCAATTGGTGGTTGGGTGTTAGGGTTTTGAAGAGGAAGGGCCGATGAGTTAAAAGGTGGCAACGGAGGTGATTTTCAGTGAATGAAACGACAAGAATCGCAAAAATCGCATAACGACAATAGTTGGTTGTTGTCAACGATTGGTAAGCAAACAAGGGTGAGGTGAGATGGATTATGGTCAAGAGGCGAGGGGAGAGTTTTTGTGTTGATGGGGTGTGTTGTCGACACCAGAAATAAGCCCTATTTGGCATGGGTAGTCAATGCGACAGGTAATTTGGGGTGTTTTTAGGGATTTCAAACCTATACGGACTTATGGAAACTTGTCAAGGGTGTTTTGCAGGATTTCAAATCTGTAAGAACTTATATGATTTGCCAAGAGTAATTTTGTGGCTTTCAAACCTTTGAACATGTTGACGTCACCGGGTCAAACTGGTTCAATCAATCAACCAAAGACTCGGCCATTGTGCTGAGTTTCACCTTGCCGGGTTTTAAAACTTTGGTGGCCAATTCGAAGGCTTACCAATCTGTAAGGTTTGTTTAAAATCAAATTAACAGTAAAAACAAGCAGTCATAATGTAATAAGTACATAGAAAGATAGAAATCATCACTGATGAAAATTATTTTCACAACTACAACTAAGGAAAATTCATTGATCTTCCTGAGATCTGCAGATTAACTCCCTGATTTAAAATGTAGGCAAATTTCTTCTCTAAAGTTTTGAAAATCATCATAAACTTCCTTCAGTATTCGCTATAAATCTCTCTGAAATTTCAATTTTACCAGGAAAACTATTTATATATTTTCGAAACAAAGGAAACTCATTAGATTAGTTTACTTAGACCAAAAGCAGGAGAAATCAATGAAATCTACCATACACGAAGAATAAGAGAAACAGAAAAAATACGAGGTAAATAAAAAACACATTTGGAATATCAAACTTAGACTAAATAGTTAAACTTGTACAGCATTACCAGAGAAGCTGACAAATGAGAGAATGTCATGAACAACAGCAATGAATTTGTGTTCTTTCTTCAAAATTAAATGAAGTTGAAGAATGTGTATGAAAAGTTCATCACAATAATTAAAGCAACATGGGCAGAACACAAACAAAGCCATTCCAACCCACCTTTTTTGTTTTTCAAATTATTTTGGAGTAAGTATTTTGATTTGGCAAACCAGCTTTGCAGCTTCAGCAAAAGCATCTGGAAGAATCAACTGTGCCCGGCTTAGACAGCTGGAGTGAGCCCTAGTTTCCTTGAATATGAGACAATATCGCTGTATTGCAAAGTAAATAGTGTGCTCTGATAACGGGTTAGTCGTATACGCTTTCGGAGTGATTCAGTGATGGTGCCATTATAGCCAGCTTTACGAATAAGTGAGTTAATTGCTTCCATCTTGGTCCAACGAAACCAAAATACAGTCACAAAAGGTGTACCCAAGTTACCTACAGTCATCAGGTACAAATTTAGTCCATGGATTATGAATTGCTGTGTGCACTGGAATGCAAAACTTGGAAAAAAAGAATAACATGTTTTTCCGAATATCATTCACTTCAGAGACAATGTTATTTGTCATCACACAGTGATGATTGAACCGCTCAAAGAGGTAATGACAAACATTGGGAAGGGAAAGGGCTTTTGATTTTCATACAGGCATGAAAAGGTGTTTGAAAGGGAAAATCACAGTGTGCTCAATTCCTGTTGTAACAAATAAGAATTTCGTATCTGTTAATAATGAATGAATGAAAACACAATGAGTACCATAAAAGCAGTTTGTTCCTGCAGTCAAATAGGGAATTAGTGGCATAGTAGCTACAAATATTTGCAGAGGAATAACTTGGTCTTTGAAATGGAAAAAGAAAACTTTAGTGAAAATATGACTCAGCTTCAAGTGAAAAGTAGCAGTAACGCTACCTTCCGAACAACTGCAATAATTAAATAAATAGAAGGAAAAGAGAAGTATGGCTTATCCACTCAAAAAATAATATCTCATCATCGCCTTCAAATGAATGAAAACAATTTTTTGCATCAATTAATTCTCAACCTAATGATAAACTACGTTAGGTCAAAGAATTGCTTCCGTTTTCCACACTCCCTCCCTTACTTCTGAAAAACAATTCCAATTTAGTGGCTTCTCTTAACCGAGCATGCAAGATTTTACTGTGGGCAGGCACCTCAGGAGGTATGTGGCACTTTCCTTGCATTATAGTCAGGGTCGGTAAACTCAATAATTATACCATGCTTTCCAACCTGAAATTGGAGTAACCAAAATTAGAAAGGTCAACAGATCAAAAGGAGAGAAAATGAAACAACATTTACGGTGGATCCTGTTTATAATTTATGAAGTATCATCAATCTATTCAGCATCTGAACAATGACTAGCAGAATTGCAGTAGGAACACCAAGCAAAAGCTTACATGATTTATCCGTACACAATGCAAAAGAGAAGATATCCAATCAAAACCGATTGGATGTCATCAACGAATTTCAATACTCTATCCACTCAAGCATAAATCAAGTAACTAGAGGGGAAAGCTGCTGTTCCAGAGCTGTGCACCCATATCCTAGTCCCTAGAGTTCCAAGAAACTAAAACAAGTTAAAAAAAAGGACATACCTCCCAGTCAAGATAGTGTTAGCAGTTTCATAATCAGTCAGAATGGATATGTACATCCAAATATGGCAATTCTTAGCTTGTATAGGAGGAAACCTGCGGTCCTTCAAGCACTGCAAAATATCACAAATAACAATAAATAAAAAGATTCTTTTTTACAAGCATTTCATAAATACAAAAAAAAAAAAAAAAAAAAAAAGGGAATTAAGGACTTGAAAGAAGTGAAAATTAATTAAAGCAAGTAGAACTGTTGAACGACATAATTCCCTAACCATCCCATCATCTTATTAACCAGCCAACTACAAAAAAAGATATTGAGAGAGAGAAATGCTTAACAACTATTTCATATTTACCATTAAACTACAGCATAGGGCCAGAGTTCTAAGGCTGACTCAGCTCAAATTTAAAATTCTTGAGGCCTTTGAGCTGAGCAGGACTTACTTTAAATATTATACACAAACATCGCAAGTCCATGGGCAAGAAACTTCATACTCTAGGCACAATGACATAAATATCAGAGGTGAACTCTACCATTGAACTAATACACACAAAAGCATAGACAAATTGAATAAAGATAGGATCCATTATCTTGCTTTATCAATTATACCACAAAATACTTCTCAATATTTTCTTCTTTCTTGTCAAAAAGAAAACATTGCAAAAGATTAGCCAAAACAAAAGGGAAAATATGACACAGAAAATCATTGTACTGACACCAGTGTACAAATTGCAAGTGGCTCTAAAATCAAGAGTTCACCAGCAAAAGTGTCACACATGTCAAGGAGAGAAAGAATCCTTGCAACAACACCATGATTAACACATATATAACTCAGATCTAAAGCATGTGTTTTCAAATTACCTGGTCAAAGCATAGTCCTAAAGCCATTAATCAAGGCACGAGCTTCTAGGGTTCCAATGCTCCACGCAAACGAGGCTCCCACCATTCACCATTTTTTCCAAGTCACAAACAATGGGCTGAAACCAGATAAGATGAGTATTAAATGTTGACATCATTTCTAACACAGTCTTCATACAAAGCACCAGGGGCCAATATTTCTTTCTGCTATTAACTTTGAGCAGAAGGACTGAATGACTTGTACACTATAACCGAACACCAAAGAAGCACCTATTAAAGTATAACCTACTGTAGAATTATTGGATGATTAAAATCAATACAACGAAAGTATTAACAGAAATCAAGACCACTAAGGCATATAAAATGGTATGATATCTTACTTCACTAGAAGCAAATCCAAACCCCCATAAAAGAAGAAATGAAGCACCACCAATTAACGCAAAGAAAAAAGAAGTAAACGCATAAGCAACTCTAAATCAAAATTGTTTCATGAACCCCCAAATTCACTGCAGCAGCAAAATCTCCATCGATTAAAAGACAGAAAAGTGAAACGAAAACAGTTCTAGAGGGCAAGAAAGTAAAATGAAAAGTTATGCTCAATAATCTTACAACACCCAGGCAATCAGAAGAAAAATACAAAGAAATTAGCTCAAGGGCCTTCTGAACTTGGCATTGCATTACAACTACGCGAGAACACAAATATGACAACAATCAGGTGTTTTAAACCGAATCGACAATATTGCATTACAAAAGTAACAAAGTGGTCATAAGTTCTAAAGCAGTCAGCAGACTTTGTTTGGTATGCTTATTCAAATAAAAAAAATCTTTTAACAAAAATATCCATTTGTTTGGCTGTTAATCACAGCTTTCAGTAAAATAAAATACAATTACATTAAACATAGTCCTTTTAAGCAAAATGGAGCTCTGTTATGAGTGTCTGGTGAGATTTTTGAAATAACATCTGTATTTGGAGAATTCAGTAGTCAAAAAGAATTTATCACTGAAGACTAATTTTTTAGTTTTGAGAATCTCCTCTCAAAGTTTAACCAAAGGACGATAAATTAGTGGAAAAAAATGCTTTCACATTGAAAAAGCTCTTTTGGTCATTCCAAAAGCAGAACCAAAGGAGTAACAAAACCCTACCATCAAAATTTATACCATACACACAAAAAAAAAAAGCATACCGTGCATTGTCAATAGCAAAATTTAGAGAGCAGCCCCATTTATTCATGTAGAGCCAACTAAACACACATTAAAATTTAAATCCATCCGCAAATTAATACAGAGCCACAAGAATCAGCAAAAACATACTACATAGAAATAATTTTATACGTTTAGTAATCTCTCCATTAAATTCCCAAAAACTAAAACTTTAATAAAATATATATGAAACCTAAAGAAATCATAGTTATTTCGGAATAATTGAAAAAAAAAGATTGCAGTAAGTTGAGTAAAATTAGATAGAAGAACATGCAGATCATCATAATTGAAGCAAAACACTAAACCCAACTAGTAAAATTAAAATATTAAATTGGAGCAAAAATAGAACGCAAAAAGAGGCGATGATCACAAAAAAAAAAAAAAAACGCAGCGTATTGAACGAAATATATATGAAAAGATATATATATAAGCAAAAAAAATAATAAATAAAAGAAATTACTGCTGCCTCATCAAAGGCAGGAGGCGGAGCATCTTGGCTGCTGTAGTGAGCCACGAGAGTGTCGAAACAGTACACCGCCATTTCTCGGTTAGCCGACACCATTTTTGTTTCAATTGCGAAGCTTTGAGAATGGTGGTGGTCTCCGTTGAAGATGAATGGAATTCTTCTTTCTTCTCTTGTGTGTTGAGCTAAGAATGTATAAAAATAATTGAAGAAGAAAGCTTTGCTTTTCGCTTACTTGTTTAAAGAGGAGAGAGATAGAGGAGTTTTTTTTTTTTTTTTTTAAATTTATGTTTACGAAATTGAAAAAGAAATTTCATTTGATTTTATAAAAAAAGCTTAAGGCTTATTATTCTTACCTCCCTGAGGTTTAAGAAATTAACAATAACCTATAAGTATAAAAATCATCACCTATCTCCTCTTTGGGTTCGACTTGATTTCATGGTTAAAGGTAGGTAGGTGATAATTTAATTGACATACTTTAAGGGTCGCTTTATATTTTCTTGAACTTCAGGGATTGAGAGTGTAGAAATGTAGGAGTCGCATATTATAAAATAATATCATATAGTGTATTAAAAAAAAAAAAAAAAAGGGGTGAAAAGTGCCTATATTACCCTTGGTTTTTTCTCAAAAGTACTAGGATAACCTCAACTTGCCATTTTATAGGGGCTTTTTGCTTTCAATAACATTGCACACACAACACTCATAACATTCTTTTACAACATGACATCTGACGTAATAGTGCCACCTCATATATACCAGCTCACTAAAATGCCACGTCACTTATTCCAAAAAAAAAAAAAAAAAAGTTTTCTAACCCTAAATTTCAAAATTTAGCACAACCCCATGAATCAATTCATTTTCAAAAAATTTGCAAACCCTAAAGTTCAAATCTCCTTTTCTCTCTCTCTCTCTCGGCCTCTCCTGCCACCACTTGACCCTTCTTCTCCTTCCAGCTCGTCCTCTCCCCCTTATCTTCATGGACTCTCGAAATGTTGTTCAGTGTCAAGATAAGATTTCAAAAAAAATCTCCAAATTTACACCCAAAAACCTTAAGATCTCCAAGCTTTACAATGTTGCTTCAATCCAACTAAAACTTCTCGTTTTTCGATTACAAACATGAATTTCACGACAAGTTTTCGCGGGAACTTGAGTTTGCTGCCAGCGTAGTTCTTGCTGCCATGTTCGTTTCCAGCCATTTTTAGCTTGTTTACATGTTCCTCGCCTAGAATGTTGTCGTTTTGCAAGTTTTAGTTCATACCAGGTTTCAAGGTAACATTTTTAGTTTGTTTTGTTCTTAATTTATTTATTTTTTGGTGTCTCAAGTAATGAAGTATTGTGTTTAATGTATATTTTACTGGAAAAAGAGAGAGATTGTTTGTAGAGTAATTGGGACAGATACTGAACCAGATAGCAACAATGATAAGGTGATTTTTTCTTTGAATGTTCAAAAATTTTTGTTCAGATTCGATGCAGATGAAATGCATTTGTATGGTTATTTTTTTAAGCAACTATTTTGCATTTGGTATTGGGGCTTGGTTTTGGCCTACAAAGCATATTTCTTTATCAAATGTTTGTGTTTCATTAATTGATATTGAAGTTTACAGGAATATATACAGGAAAAGCAAATAAATGAAGATGGGGAAAACCCACCTGCCACTGATACCCATCAGAAAAATGATAAACCTGAGCTTGATTCGCAGCTTGATGATATGAAGATGATACAGAAACAAATGGTCTAGGTGGTGGTGTGCAGGTATTTATTTTTGATTTTTTATTGAATTATTGCTAACCTAAATGTTAGTCAATAGATATGTTTTTTGCCGCATGCTGATTGGTTTTTTGTTGAGTAGGACATGGTTTTTAGTTCCTCTAATCTCTATTCTATTATATTTGTTTAATGCACATTTTCTAATTTCTGTTTTCAATAACTTTCATTCACCATTCGTAATTTTTTGGTTTATGTTTTACTCAAAACGACAGGCTAAAGTTGTTTATAACTTCAGGGTAATTGTGGTGTTTAAGGTATATCATGCGTCATCCAAGAATATTAGCTGGAAGAGTGAACATATGGCAGCGATCAAAAATGAGAATTGGTGGGTGCTGGATATCAATCGAATCTAGTCATGGAACTTGTTTTGTAAACGTTGTTGATGAGGTTGGTGACATTATAATTTGTTGCCGGAAGTTTATTACTAAAAATGCCAAATAAAGAGGCATACAGAATGTGTATCAACATTAGTTACTCAGTATCAAATAGATGTTCAATACAGCTGATTGCTAGAACTAAGAGAAACACTTTAGTGAAAATATGACTCAGCTTCAAGTGAAAAGTAGCAGTAACGCTACCTTCGACAACAACGCAATAATAAATAAAAATAGAAGGAAAAGAGAAGTATGGCTTATCCACTCAAAAAATAATATCTCATCATCGCCTTCAAATTGAATGAAAACAATTTTTTTGCATCAATTAATTTCTCAACCTAATGATTGAAACTACGTTAGGTCAAAGAATTGTTCCGTTTTCCAACTCCCTCCCTTACTTCTGCAAAAACAAATTCCAATTTAGTGGCTCAACACGAGCATGCAAGATTTTACCTTCGTGGGCAGGCACTCAGGCAGGATGTGGCACTTCTCCTTGCATTATAGTCAGGGTCGGTAAACTCAATAATTATACCATGCTTTCCAACCTGAAATTGGAGTAACACAATTAGAAAGGTCAACAGATCAAAAGGAGAGAAAATGAAACAACATTTACGGTGGATCCTGTTTATAATTTATGAAGTATCCATCAATCTATAGCATGAACAATGACTAGCAGAATTTGCAGTAGGAACACCAAGCAAAAAGCTTACATGATTTATCCCCGTCAACACATGAAAAGAGAAGATATCCAATCAAAACCAAGATGGTCGATCAACGAATTTCAATACTCTATCCACTCAAGCTAAATCAAGTAACTAGAGGGGAAAGCTGCTGTTCCAGAGCTGATGCACCAATCCTAGTCCTAGAGTTCCAAGAACTAAAACAGTTAAAAAAAAGGACATACCTCCAGTCAAGATAGTTGTTAGCAGTTTCAATCAGTCAGAATGGATACTGTACATTCCAAATAGGCAATTCTTTAGCTTGTATAGGAGGAAACCTGCGGCCTTCAAAGCACTGCAAAATACACAATATAACAAAATAAATAAAGATTCTTTTTTTACAGCATTTCATAAATAAAAAAAAAAAAAAAAAAAAAAAAGGATTAAGGACTTGAAAGAAGTGAAAATTAATTAAAGCAAGTAGAACTGTTGAACGACATAATTCCTAACATCCCATCATCTTATATACCAGCCAACTACAAAAAAAGATATTGAGAGAGGAAAATGCTAACAACTATTTCATATTTACCATAAACTACAGCATAGGGCCAGAGTTCTAAGGCTGACTCAGCCTCAAATTTAACAATTCTTGAGCGCTTGAGCTGAGCAGGACTTACTTTAAATATAACACAAACATCGCGTCCATGTGGCCAAGAAACTTCATACTCTAGGACAATGACATAAATATCAGAGGTGAACTCTACCATTGAACTAATAAACACAAAAGCATAGACAAATTGAATAAAGATAGGACCATTACTCTTGCTTTATCAATTTATACCACAAAAAACTTCTCATATATTTTCTTCTTTCTTGTCAAAAAGAAAACATTGCAAAGATTAGCCAAAACAAAAGGGAAAATATGACACAGAAAATCATTGTACTGACACCAGTGTACAAATTGCAAGTGGCTCTAAAATCAAGAGTTCACACAGCAAAAGTGCACACATGTCAAGGAGAGAAAGAATCATGCAACAACACCATGTTAACACATATATAACTCAGACTAAAGCATGTGTTTTCAAATTACCTGGTCAAAGCATAGTCCTTAAAGCCATTAATCAAGGCACGAGCTTCTAGGGTCCAATGCATCCACGCAAACGAGGCTCCCCACCATTCACCATTTTTTTCCAAGTCACAAACAATGGGCTGAAACCAGAATAGAGAGTATTAAATGTGACATCATTTCTAACACTTCATACAAAGCACAGGGGCCAATATTTTCTTTCTGCATATTAACTTTGAGCAGAAGGACTGAATGACTTGTACACTATAACCGAACACCAAAGAAGCACATATTAAAGTATAACCTACTGTAGAATTATTGGAGATATAAATAAATACAACGAAAGTATTACAGAAAATCAAGAACACATAAGGCATATAAAATGGTATGATATTCTTACTTCACTAGAAGCAAATCCAAACCCCCATAAAAGAAGAAAATGAAGCACCACAATTAACGCAAAGAAAAAAGAAGTAAAGCATAAGCAACTCTAAATCAAAATTGTTTCATGAACCCCCAAATTCACTGCAGCAGCAAAATTCCATCGATTAAAAGACAGAAAAAGTGAACAGAAAAACAGTTCTAGAGGGCAAGAAAGTAAAATGAAAATTATGCTCAATCTTACAACCACCATGGCAACAGAAGAAAAATAACAAGAATTAGCTCAAGGGCTTCTGAACTTGGCATTGCATTACAACACGAGAACACAATATATGACAACAATCAGGTGAATTTTAAACCGAATCGACAATATTGCATTACAAAAGTAACAAAGTGGTATAAGTTCTAAAGCAGTCAGCAGACTTTGTTTGGTATGCTTATTCAAAAAAAAAATCTTTTAACAAAAATATCCATTTGTTTGGCTGTTATACACAGCTTTCAGTAAAAAAATACAATACATTAAACATAAGTCCTTTTAAGCAAAATGGAGCCTGTTATGAGTGTCTGGTGAGATTTTTGAAAACATCTGTATTTGGAGAATTCAGTAGTCAAAAAGAATTTATCACTGAAGCCAATAAATTTTTTTCTAGTTTTGAGAATCTCCTCTCAAAGTTTAACCAAAGGACGTAAATTAGTGAAAAAAATGCTTTCACATTGAAAAAGCTCTTTTGGTCATTCCAAAAGCAGACAACAAAGGAGTACTTAACCAAACCCTTACCATCAAAATTTATACCATACACAACACAAAAAAAAAAAGCATACAGTGCATTGTCAATAGCAAAATTTAGAGAGCCGCCCTCCATTTATTCATGTAGAGCCAACTATAACACACATTAAAACTTATAAATCCACCGCAAATTAATACAGAGCCACAAGAATCAGCAAAAACATATACATAAAGAATAATTTTAATACGTTTAGTAAATCTCTCATTAAATTCCCAAAAACTAAACTTTTAATAAAATATATATGAAACCCTAAAGAAATCATAGTTATTTCGAATAATTGAAAAAAAAAGATGCAGTAAGTTGAGTAAAATTAGATAGAAGAACATGCAGATCATCATAATGAAGCAAAACACTAAACCCAACTAGTAAAATTAAAATATTAAAATTGGAGCAAAAATAGAACGCAAAAAGAGGCGATGATCACAAAAAAAAAAAAAAAAACGCAGCGTATTACGAAATATATATGAAAAGATATTAAATAAAGCAAAAAAATAAATAAATAAAAGAAATTACTGCTGGCCCTCATCAAAGGCAGGAGGCGGAGCATCTTGGCTGCTGTAGGAGCCACGAGAGTGTCGAAACAGTACACCGCCATTTCTCGGTTAGCCGACACCATTTTTGTTTTCAATTGCGAAGCTTTGAGAAATGGTGGTGGTCTCGTTGAAGATGAATGGAATTCTCTTCTTTCTTTGTTGTGTTGAGCTACAGAATGTATAAAAATAATTGAAGAAGAAAGCTTTGCTTTCTGCTTACTTGTTTAAAGAGGAGAGAGATAGAGAGGTTTTTTTTTTTTTCTTTTAATTTATAGTTTACGAAATTGAAAAAGAAAATTTCATTTGATTTTATCAAAAAAGCTTAAGGCTTATTATTCTTACCTCCCTGAGGTTTAAGAAATTATACAATAACCTATAAGTAAAAATCATCACCTATCTCCTCTTTGGTTCGACTTTGATTTCATGGTTAAAGTAGGTAGGTGATAATTAAATTGACATACTTTAGGGCCTTTTAATATTTTCTTGAACTTCAGGGAATTGAGAGTGTAGAAATGTAGGAGTCGCATATTATAAAAAAATATCATATAGTGTATTAAAAAAAAAAAAAAAAAAAAGGGTGAGTGTGGCTACATGCCTGCATCCATTCAATGCGTGCAAATCAATTAAATGTCTTTAACCTTATTTAGTTAAGATGATACAAACACTTTTGTAACAATTCCAGATTAATATAAACTATAGGATTTGAATCAACTTTTAACATGCATAAGATGGAAAGATCCAATATTAATTGGAGCGGTAAGATGATTATTCTGTTTTGTAAAAGTAAAATTCAACTTTATAGATTGTGGTAATATGAAAGTTCATATTTATACGTTATATGAAATTATATTTCATTATATGAAGTAAGGTTGAGTTCAATCTAAATACTTCACAATGCATCTAGTATACATTTCACTTTCATAAAAATATAAATATATTGCTCCTGTTATATTGTAGCTTATAAGTTAAAACATGATAATATAGTAATCTGATATCAAGAATTTCATCCGGTTTTTAATGAAGAATTTGTATACTTTATGTCTATATGGTAAAACCCGATCAGTTGAACCGGTTCAACCAGGACCCAGGGTTTTCTATGGGTTGGGTTACCAATTTCGATTGTTCATGGCAAACCCCAAAGAGGAGCATGAAGATAGGCGAGCAATTGGTGATTGAGATGTTAGGGGTTTTGAAGAGGAAGGGCCGATGAGTTAAAAGGTAGTGACGGAGGTGATTTTCGGTGAATGAAACGACAAGAAATCACAAAAATCGCACGACAACAATAGTTGGCTGTTGTCGACGATTGGTAAGGCAAACAAGGGTGAGGTGGGATGAGTTATGGTCAAGAGGCTGAGGGGAGAGTTTTTGTGTTGATGGGGTGTGTTGTCGACACCGGAAACAAGCCCTATTTGGCATGGGTTGTCAATGCGGACAGTGTAATTTGAGGTGTTTTTATGGGATTTCAAACCTATACGGACTTATGGAAACTTGTCAAGGGTGTTTTGTAGGATTTCAAATCTGTGAGGACTTATGTAATTTGCCAAGAGTAATTTTTGCTGGCTTTCAAACCTTTGAACATGTTGACGTCACCGGGTCAAACTGGTTCAATCAATCAACCCAAGACCCGGCCACTGTGCCGAGTTTCACCTTGCCCGGGTTTTAAAACTTTGGTGGCCAATTCTGAAGGCTTTACCAATCTGTAAGGTTTGTTTAAAATCAAATTAACAGTAAAAACAAGCAGTCATAATGTAATCATGTACATAGAAAGATAGAAATCACTCACTGATGTAAAATTATTTTCACAACTACAACTAAGGAAAATCTCATTGATATTCCTGAGATCTGCAGATTAATCTTCCTGATTTAAAATGTAGGCAAATTCTTCTCTAAAGTTTTGAAAATCATCATAAACTTCCTTCAGTATTCGCTATAAATCTCTCTGAAATTTCTCAATTTTACCAGGAAAACTATTTATATATTTTCGAAACAAAGGAAACTCATTAGATTCAGTTTACTTAGACCAAAACGCAGGAGAAATCAATGAAATCTACCATACACGAGAAAATAAGAGAAACAGAAAAAAATACGAGGTAAATAAACAACACACTTTGGAATATCACAACTTAGACTAAATAGTTTAAACTTGTACAGCATTACCAGAGAAGCTGACAAATGAGAGAATGTCATGAAACAACAGCAATGAAATTTGTGTTCCTTCTTCAAAATTACATGAAGTTGAAGAATTGTATGAAAAGTTCATCACAATAATTAAAGCAACATGGGCAGGAACACAAACAAAGCCATTCCAACCCACCTTTTTTGTTTTTCAAATTATTTTGGAGTAAGTATTTTGATTTGGCCAAACCAGCTTTGCAGCTTCAGCAAAAGCAGTCTGGAAGAATCAACTGCTGCCCGGCTTAGACAGCTGGAGGTGAGCCCCTAGTTTCCTTGACATATGAGACATATTCGCTGTATTGCAAAGTAAATAGTGTGCTCTGATAACGGGTTAGTCGTATACGCTTTCGGAGTGATTCAGTGATGGTGCCATTATAGCCAGCTTTACGAATAAGTGAGTTAATTGCTTCCATCTTGGTCCAACCTGAAACCAAAATACAGTCACAAAAGGTGTACCCAAGTTACCTACAGTCATCAGGAAAAAATTTAGTCCATGGTATTATGAATTGCTTGTGCACTGGAATGCAAAACTTGGAAAAAAGAAATAACATGTTTTTTCCGAATATCATTCACTTCAGAGACAATGTTATTTGTCATCACACAGTGATGATTGGAACCGCTCAAAGCAGGTAATGACAAACATTGGGAAGGGAAAGGGCTTTTGATTTTCATACAGGCATGTAAAAGGTGTTTTTGAAAGGGAAAATCACAGTGTCGCTCAACTTCCTGTTGTAACAAATAAGAATTTCGTATCTTGTTAATACTGAATGAATGAAAACACAATGAGTACCATAAAAGCAGTTTCGTTGTCCTAGCAGTACAAATAGGGAATTAGTGGCATAGCTAGCTACAAATTATTTGCAGAGGAATAACTTGGTCTTTGAAATGGAAAAAGAAAACTTTAGTGAAAATATGACTCAGCTTCAAGTGAAAAGTAGCAGTAAGGCTACCTTTCAGATAACAACTGCAATAATTAAATAAAAATAAAAGGAAAAGAGAAGTATGGCTTATCCACTCAAAAAATAATATCTTCATCATCGCCTTCAAATTGAATGAAAACAAATTTTTTGCATCAATTAATTTCTCAACCTAATGATTGAAACTACGTTAGGTCAAAGAATTGCTTCCGTTTTCCACACTCCCTCCCTTACTTCTGCAAAAACAAATTCCAATTTAGTGGCTTCTCTTAACCGAGCATGCAAGATTTTACCTTCGTGGGCAGGCACCTCAGGCAGGTATGTGGCACTTCTCCTTGCATTATAGTCAGGGTCGGTAAACTCAATAATTATACCATGCTTTCCAACCTGAAATTGGAGTAACCAAAATTAGAATGGTCAACAGATCAAAAGGAGAGAAAATGAAACAACATTTACGGTGGATCCTGTTTATAATTTATGAAGTATCATCAATCTATTCAGCATCTGAACAATGACTAGCAGAATTTGCAGTAGGAACACCAAGCAAAAAGCTTACATGATTTATCCCCGTCACACAATGCAAAAGAGAAGATATCCAATCAAAACCAAGATTGGATGTCATCAACGAATTTCAATACTCTATCCACTCAAGCATAAATCAAGTAACTAGAGGGGAAAGCTGCTGTTCCAGAGCTGATGCACCCATATCCTAGTCCTAGAGTTCCAAGAACTAAAACAAGTTAAAAAAAAGGACATACCTCCCAGTCAAGATAGTTGTTAGCAGTTTCATAATCAGTCAGAATGGATACTGTACATTCCAAATATGGCAATTCTTTAGCTTGTATAGGAGGAAACCTGCGGTCCTTCAAAGCACTGCAAAATATCACAAATAAAGATTCTTTGTTTTACAAGCATTTCATAAATAAAAAAAAAAAAAAATTAAGGACTTGAAAGAAGGTGAAAATTAATTAAAGCAAGTGGAACTGTTGAACGGCATAATTCCCTAACCATCCCATCATCTTATATACCAGCCAACTACAAAAAAAGATATTGAGAGAGAGAAATGCTTAACAACTATTTCATATTTACCATTAAACTACAGCATAGGGCCAGAGTTCTAAGGCTGACTCATCCTCAAATTTAACAATTCTTGAGGCCTTTGAGCTGAGCAGGACTTACTTTAAATATTATACACAAACATCGCAATGTCCATGTGGCCAAGAAACTTCATACTCTAGGCACAATGACATAAATATCAGAGGTGAACTCTACCATTGAACTAATACACACAAAAGCATAGACAAATTGAATAAAGATAGGATCCATTACTCTTGCTTTATCAATTTATACCACAAAATAACTTCTCATATATTTTCTTCTTTCTTGTCAAAAAGAAAACATTGCAAAAGATTAGCCAAAACAAAAGGGAAAATATGACACAGAAAATCATTGTACTGACACCAGTGTACAAATTGCAAGTGGATCTAAAATCAAGAGTTCACCCAGCAAAAGTGTCACACATGTCAAGGAGAGAAAGAATCCATAGCAACAACACCACGATTAACACATATATAACTCAGATCTAAAGCATGTGTTTTTCAAATTACCTGGTCAAAGCATAGTCCTTAAAGCCATTAATCAAGGCACGAGCTTCTAGGGTTCCAATGCATCCACGCAAACGAGGCTCCCCACCATTCACCATTTTTTTCCAAGTCACAAACAATGGGCTGAAACCAGAATAAGATGAGTATTAAATGTTGACATCATTTCTAACACAGTTCTTCATACAAAGCACAGGGGCCAATATTTTCTTTCTGCATATCAACTTTGAGCAGACTGAATGACTTGTACACTATAACCAAACACCAAAGAAGCACATATTAAAGTATAACCTACTGTAGAATTATTGGATGATATAAAATCAATACAACGAAAGTATTAACAGAAAATCAAGAACACATAAGGCATATAAAATGGTATGATATTCTTACTTCACTAGAAGCAAATCCAAACCCCCCATAAAAGAAGAAAATGAAGCACCACCAATTAACGCAAAGAAAAAAGAAGTAAAGGCATAAGCAACTCTAAATCAAAATTGTTTCATGAACCCCCAAATTCACTGCAGCAGCAAAATCTCCATCGATTAAAAGACAGAAAAAGTGAACAGAAAAACAGTTCTAGAGGGCAAGAAAGTAAAATGAAAAGTTATGCTCAATAATCTTACAACCACCATGGCAAACAGAAGAAAAATAACAAGAAATTAGCTCAAGGGCCTTCTGAACTTGGCATTGCATTACAACTACGTGAACACAATATATGACAACAATCAGGTGAATTTTAAACCGAATCGACAATATTGCATTACAAAAGTAACAAAGTGGTCATAAGTTCTAAAGCAGTCAGCAGACTTTGTTTGGTATGCTTATTCAAAAAAAAAAAATCTTTTAACAAAAATATCCATTTGTTTGGCTGTTAATCACAGCTTTCAGTAAAATAAAATACAATTACATTAAACATAAGTCCTTTTAAGCAAAATGGAGCTCTGTTATGAGTGTCTGGTGAGATTTTTGAAATAACATCTGTATTTGGAGAATTCAGTAGGTCAAAAAGAATTTATCACTGAAGCCAATAAATTTTTTTCTAGTTTTGAGAATCTCCTCTCAAAGTTTAACCAAAGGACGATAAATTAGTGAAAAAAAATGCTTTCACATTGAAAAAGCTCTTTTGGTCATTCCAAAAGCAGAACCAAAGGAGTACTTAACCAAACCCTTACCATCAAAATTTTATACCATACACACACAAAAAAAAAGCATACAGTGCATTGTCAAATAGCAAAATTTTAGAGAGCAGCCCTCCATTTATTCATGTAGAGCCAACTATAACACACATTAAAACTTATAAATCCATCCGCAAATTAATACAGAGCCACAAGAATCAGCAAAAACATACTACATAAAGAAATAATTTTAATACGTTTAGTAAATCTCTCATTAAATTCCCAAAAACTAAAACTTTTAATAAAATATATATGAAACCCATAAAGAAATCATAGTTATTTCGGAATAATTGAAAAAAATAAGATTGCAGTAAGTTGAGTAAAATTAGATAGAAGAACATGCAGATCATCATAATTGAAGCAAAAACACTAAACCCAACTAGTAAAATTAAAATATTAAAATTGGAGCAAAAATAGAACGCAAAAAGAGGCGATGATCACAAAAAAAAAAAAAAAACGCAGCGTATTAACGAAATATATATGAAAAGATATATATAATAAGCAAAAAATAAATAAATAAATAAAAGAAATTACTGCTGGCCCTCATCAAAGGCAGGAGGCGGAGCATCTTGGCTGCTGTAGTGAGCCACGAGAGTGTCGAAACAGTACACCGCCATTTCTCGGTTAGCCGACACCATTTTTGTTTTCAAATTGCGAAGCTTTGAGAAATGGTGGTGGTCTCCGTTGAAGATGAATGGAATTCTCTTCTTTCTTCTTGTTGTGTTGAGCTACAGAATGTATAAAAATAATTGAAGAAGAAAGCTTTGCTTTTCTGCTTACTTGTTTAAAGAGGAGAGAGATAGAGAGAGTTTTTTTTTTTTATTTCTTTTAAATTTATAGTTTACGAAATTGAAAAAGAAAATTTCATTTGATTTTATAAAAAAAGCTTAAGGCTTATTATTCTTACCTCCCTGAGGTTTAAGAAATTATACAATAACCTATAAGTATAAAAATCATCACCTATCTCCTCTTTGGCGTTCGGACTTTGATTTCATGGTTAAGGTAAGTAGGTAGGTGATAATTCTAGATTGACATACTTTAAGGGCGCTTTTTAGTAGTTTCTTGAACTTCAGTGAGTGAAGTGATAGAAATGTAGGAGTCGCATATTATAAAATAATATCATATAGTGTATTAAAAAAAAAAAAAAAAGAGGGTTGAATTGCCTATATTACCCTTGGTTTTTTCTCAAAGTACTAGGATAACCTCAACTTGCCATTTTATAGGGGCTTTTTGCTTCATAACATTGCACACACAACACTCATAACATTCTTTTACAACATGACATCTGACGTAATAGTGCCACCTCATATATACCAGCTCACTAAAATGCCACGTCACTTATTCCAAAAAAAAAAAAAAAAGTTTTCTAACCCTAAATTTCAAAATTTAGCACAACCCCATGAATCAATTCATTTCAAAAATTTTGCAAACCCAAAGTTCAAATCTCCTTTTCTCTCTCTCTCTCTCGGCCTCTCCTGCCACCACTTGACCCTCTTCTCCTTCCAGCTCGTCCTCTCCCCCTTACTTCATGGACCTCGAAATGTGTTCAGTGTCAAGATAAGATTTCAAAAAAAATCTCCAAATTTACACCCAAAAACCTTAAGATCTCCAAGCTTTACAATGTTGCTCAATCCAACTAAAACTTCTCGTTTTTCGATTACAAACATGAATTTCACGACAAGTTTCGCGGGAACTTGAGTTTGCTGCCAGCGTAGTTCTTGCTGCCATTCGTTTCCAGCCATTTTTAGCTTGTTTACATGTTCCTCGCCTAGAATGTTGTCGTTTTGCAAGTTTTAGTTCATACATTCAAGGTACATTTTTAGTTTGTTTTGTTCTTAATTTATTTATTTTTTGGTGTCTCAAGTAATGAAGTATTGTGTTTAATGTATATTTTACTGGAAAAAGAGAGAGATTGTTTGTAGAGTAATTGGGACAGATACTGAACCAGATAGCAACAATGTAAGGTGATTTTTTCTTTGAATGTTCAAAATTTTTGTTCATTCGATGCGATAATGCATTTGTATGGTTATTTTTTTAAGCAACTATTTTGCATTTGTTATGGGGCTTGGTTTTGGCCTACAAAGCATATTCTTATCAAATGTTTGTGTTTCATTAATTGATATTGAAGTTTACAGGAATATATACAGGAAAAGCAAATAAATGAAGATGGGGAAAACCCACCTGCCACTGATACCCATCAGAAAAATGATAAACCTGAGCTTGATCGCAGCTTGATATAGAAGATGATACAGAAACAAATGGTCTAGGTGGTGGTGTGCAGGTATTTATTTTTGATTTTTTATTGAATTATGCTAACCTAAATGTTAGTCAATAGATATGTTTTTTGCCGCATGCTGATTGGTTTTTTGTTGAGTAGGACATGGTTTTAGTTCCTCAATCTCTATTCATTATATTTGTTTAATGCACATTTTCTAATTTCTGTTTTCAATAACTTTCATTCACCATTCGTAATTTTTTGGTTTATGTTTTACTCAAAACAGGCTAAAGTTGTTTATAACTTCAGGGTATGTGGTGTTTAAGGTATATCTGCGTCATCCAAGATATTAGCTGGAGAGTGAACATATGGCAGCGATCAAAAATGAGAATTGGTGGGTGCTGGATATCATCGAATCTAGTCATGGACTTGTTTTGTAAACGTTTTGTGAGGTTGGTGACATTATAATTTGTTGCCGGAAGTTTATTACTAAAAATGCCAAATAAAGAGGCATCAGAATGTGATCAACATTAGTTACCAGTATCAAATAGATGTTCAATACAGCTGATTCTAGAACTAAGTACGAGTTTGATTTGGAATCTATTAGGGAGATGGAAACAAATGGAAGAAATTAGTGAAGTAGCAAATTGCTTGACTAATTATGATTATTGTGATCTAAAAACTCACAGTTCATGATAATGATAGATTTGAGCTAGAGACTAAGCCAAGGTGGGGGCGTTTTATTAAATTATATAACTCTAATCTGCAGCATTTAATTTTTATTTTTAAACTATATATTGTTATTGTTTTTAATAGCATGACTTGTTATTGAGACTTTATCCCGGTTCAAAAATGTATCATTGTGTTTCTTTTGCTTTAAATTTGCAGCTGGTATGTCTGTCAGTATTTTTCTGAACATTTGCGTGAAGCTTAGATTTTAGAATTGTTACTTTAAAGCTTGTGATAGGTCTTAATATATTGGGTTGGTCTCAATAGGTATAATTTGGAATTTTTTTGAAATCTTTCTTGACACTGAACAACATTTCTCGAGTCCATGAAGTTAGGGGGAGAGGACAAGAGGGGTCAAGTGGTGGACAGGAGAGGCCGAGAGAGAGAGAGAGAGAGATTTGAACTTCACAGTTTCGAATTTTTTGAAAATGAATTTTGTATTAAGATTTGATTCATGGTGTTATGCTAAATTTTGAAATTAGGGTTAGAGAAATTTTTTTTTTTTTTATTTTTTAGAGGAAGTGACGTGGCATTTTGTGCCGCTGGCAGATGAGGTGACACTGCCATGTCAGATGCCATGTGTAAGGGAGTGTTGTCAGTGTTATTGCAAAGCAATTTACTTTTTTGGGTTTAGGTGAGACCCACTAACATTTATTATGATGTCTTCCATCCAAGAAGATTACAGAAAAATGTATTGACGGTTGTAGTAGCTGTTGAAATTTGTTTTAACAGAATGTCATTTCAAATTAATTGGACGGTTGATGATAATTGATATTTTTAATTGAAATGGGTAGAAATCATCAAACCCATGCTTTCACATTAGAATTTTTAAATTCCTTATAAAATTGACACCAAACTCCATTATCATTATCGTCCTATCAAATTATGGAAGCCACTTAAACCAAATTTAGTACCCATAAAGTTTATTCATTAGATAATCAACCTAATCGAATAAAGCTTTAGTCATATAATATGATTACTTGTGTTTTGAGTGATTATGACTTATAAGTTGCTCAAAAGTATCGGATAGGAATAGGATTAAAGAGATTCTTTTCTTTTATTAAAATAAATTAAGACTCACCTGTCAAACCAACATTATTAGTATATGATGATGTGACAATTAAGAGCAAAATAAAAAATTTAAGCAATTTCTTGGAGACAAACATAGCCAAGCTTCTCACCTTCGAACCAATCAAATAATATAATCGACGTAATGGACCAATCCCACACGCAATAAGGAGTACTATATTTAATACAAAAATTAAAAAATCCTTTCACAAGTCACAACTAATCATTGAGGTCACTGGATGAGAATGATGAGGTCAATGGAAACCATCCTAATCCAAAATTTGGCGCCCCATTAGCTTGGAGATAGATAAAAGAAATTCATAACTAGCTCAAGGTATTTGAGTGGATGGATAAATTTTTTTAAATATATTAATAAATTCGAATCTCTTCCCTCAATTACTAACAAAGATAATAGTTAGAACTTTCACCCTATCAATATTTATAAGATTCCAAAAATTTAATTAAAATACGTATAAACTAAACAAAAACCCCCATCGTGAAAACAATTATTAAAAGAAATTGTTACGCTTAAATAAGATTGCTTCTTTTTCTCTTTCCCTAGATGCCAATCACAAACCTAGTGTAATTTTAAGTTAAAATATAAAGAAAATCTCTCACTTTCACTGAAAAAGAAAAAAACAGAGAAGGGCGAGAAAAGAAAGGTATGGGTGATTGTTAGTTTCATCCTAAGAAGGCAAAAGGGACCTCAGAATTGCTTTTAAAAGTGATTCTACAAACTTAGCAAATTGACCCCTAGTCTTTCTTAACTTTACAGCGATATATGAGATCTCTGTGCTTCTATGTCATCACAACAATTGAAGAAGAGGAGATAAAATGATTTTACATTAATTTATTTTTTTTAAAGGGAGAAAAATCTAAAACAAACCAAGTACCATACATCACTCTAGAGACTTGATCAGTCAGAATCATGTCTCCTCTTCTCCTTGTCTTTCCTATGTTTCCTCCTGTCATCTGAGTCACGAGATTGGCGTTTCTCACGTCTTTCATGCTTCTCGTGTTTCTTATCCTCACGCCGCCTTTTCTTCTTACTCCGTTCATCCTCCTTTTCATCCTTCGATTCTTCTTTTTCGGTGTCCCCAACAGGTGAACTGGGATCAGCAGGCTTCACTGACTCAGGTGAAGCCTGCTCCACACTGGATTTAAGCGTACTAGGATCTTCCCATGGGCGAGGTGCCTTGCTGTAAAATCCACCAAAAGTTAATTTAAGCAAGTTAAAACAGTTGGTTGCTTCTATGAATGACATAAAATAACAAGGGACATAGGTGTTGGACGGTTAAGACTTTGAATATATACTTGATTGTTTTTATACCTTGCGAAACCAATTCCATGAACCCAAGCTGCGTCAGAATGCCCTGCACCCATGTCCTCTGCAGTCGAACCTCGTTTCACAAGTTCCTCAAATTCATGCTTATCAAGTCGATTACCTTGAGGTCGAATAGACCGCTTAGGAGCTAAGCCAAGAGCTTCTCTCATGGCCTGCTCCTCCTCTTCCTTAATTCTTTTTATCTCCTCTTTTAAAGCATCTGTATCGGAACCAGAGTTTTTGTCCCTGGTGTACCAGTGCAAATCTTTCCCTATTGTAAATGATAAAAGAAAAAATTCAGACATTCTTAATGAAGTATATCAAAGAAAGAATTAAGAATAACACAGAATTTAGCAATGACTGAATATGCTTATAAGCTGCCCACCAGAATCATTTCAGCCTCAGCATTCAGGCCCTCATATTCATGAAACTTTAAAAAAACTTTCTCCATTCTACAAGCAATAGATTACATAAACTAACCAGATAATCAGATAATGAAAGTTAGCGAGCAAAATTCCTAAACAACATATCAACAAAAACAAAGGATTATCTATATGATCCCCACAACATGGATAGTTCGTCACAACTATATTTCAAAGGGGAGGCAGAAAGTGATCCAAGTACTATTCTGGATGCAGCAAGGTCATTCTGTGAAGCACATCCTCCCCAAACTGAAAACTGATCGATGGCACTGTGGAGACAGTATCACTCAGAATAGTTACAAAAGAATAAGAAAACACCTAAACCATTCTATCAACAGTTGTTTTTTATGATCAGCAACTTTCAGAGAAAACTGTGAGGTAGTGTCATTACAAGTAATATCAATTAATTTTGTTATAATGGACTTTCAAATTAAATTATTAGTTGTACTACAAATTTCAATTGGGAATAGAGTAGCAAGTTAAGAATTCGAGAGTTTTGGCAACAAATGAAAAGAGAAACTGAATCTGACCTTCGAATTTTTTTGAAAGTTTTCATGTTTACCATTTAAAACATCAACTCTAAAACTCGCGATACTACCCCTATGCCGAAACTATAACAATGAGGGCTCCGTTTTGTTCACTATTTTGGGAATTTTCAGAATAGTCTTTTGGAAAAAATTGAGGTGAGTATATTCTGAGAAGTTTTTTGTACATTTTTTAATAGCATTTTCTAAAAATATTTAGATCTTTTGGCCGTCGTTGTCGGCCAAACGACGGCCAAGATATGGCCATCTTGGCCATCGTCAACGGCCAAAAGATCTAGCCTTTTCCGGCCGGATCCACTGTGGATCTGGCCGGAAAATGCCAAATCAACGCATTACCGACCATATCCAACTGGTAGTGCGCCATTCCGACAGATTCCAGCTATCTTCTGACGATGGTGGTCGGAATCTAGCAAATGTGGATGGATGGGGGTATTTTTGTTAATTTATAAACTTTTATTGTTAGGGGGTGTTTTTGTTAATTTATAAACTTTTATTGTTAGGGGGTGTTTTTGTTAATTTATAAACTTTTATTGTTGGGGGGTGTTTAGCTAAATGAACAAACTTAGGGGGTTAAAAATAATCTAAATATTTTGAGTTGAATAGAATAGTATTGTATTTTGAAGAGAATTTTGAATATTGAAACAAATGTGTATGTGGATAGGACTGGATAGGATAGTAGAATAGGATAGGGTAAAAATGGTGAACCAAAGGGGCCCAAGATATTTGTTTTTTATAATTTGGACATCATCTGCAGAAGTTTTTGTTTGGTTTAGGTTGTTATGTCATAACATAAAGGTCTCTTGAGGCTACTAACTGAACGTAAGAAATGCTAAAGAAGATTCTCCAACTATGAGCGGTATAAAAGGGGAAACAAAAAAAGCCAAAAATGTAACCACCAAACAGGTTATCTACTTTTATTTTGTTTTTATTTATTATTTTGGTCTTTGAACTAAGAAATTGGATAGAGTGAGAAGCATGATCAATTGGATAAAGATAACCAAGGAAAAAAAAAAAGTTTAACTCCGCTAATAAATAGTTTGGGATTTATGTATTAAGGGAATTTAAGATAACGTACAGTTACTTTAAGAAGTGCTGAGAATTTTGCATATCCACTGCCAGACAATCAGAACACAAGACCATCTAAAAAAAATCTCCTGAGTTGAGGGTCAGTAACGTGAGAGGTTTAAGAAATGACTGGAATGAATGGACTTACACTACAGCTAAATAGGGTTGGCAAGAACTAGGGATATGGAGGGCAAATGGTCATAACCTCCATGTTGTAACACTGAACAAGGACCAGCAGAAGCTCAATATCAAATGCCATAAGTTTAAACAAAATAATTGCTGCTATTATTTCTTAATTCTAATTCAATATTTCAGGCTAAAATAATAAAAGCATCAAAAAGCCATACCTTTCTGCCATCTTCCAACAGGGGCCTTGATGCTATGACCAAGATAATTCTCACGATGTTTGTCAACTTTCACATCATCCCAACTAAATTCTGCACAAAAAGAATATGTCCTTTTTCATGAATAGATCAGGAACCATAAACCAACAAAAGATGCAGGAATAGAGAAAATTAAAGATAATTAGCCAACTCTGACTGATATTAAGCTTCACAAACAAATAGCGGAAAGGAAAAAAAAAATGTTTGCCAGAAGTGAATGAATATGAAATACATTATCAAACAAAGACCTAAGGCAACATATCCCAACTCAACAGCCCAAATTATCTAGTTTACATTATTACCCGCCAAAATTACTCCAAATTCTCTTGTAGGTGTGATATAAATTGCATTTAGAAAAAGTGTGATACAATGTTGGAAAGGCAGTATAACAATTATATCACCCACATATTTTTGGAAGTAATATAAACTAATGACTTAGTTACATTATAATAAATACATTTATTAATTGAGAGAGACTTGAGTAGCATCAAGAGCGTGGGTGGACCTTAAGATGGTAGTAAAGCTACAAAGCAATTTTCTTTATTTAATCTCACAAGAAAGATGACTAACTGGATTACACCAATTAAATCAACACGAAATCAAACCCATTGAGGCTAATTAGATTACACCAGAATAAGCATATATAGAATTTCACATCTGTTCACCCAATAAGCAATTCTGCTAGCATCTTAACCTTTAATATCTGTTCCTCAATCTTGCTATCATTCCAACAATTGATACTGAATTCCTTGAAAACAAAAATTAATTTACAGTTCGTGAATTTGACATGTACAGCCCTTTATTCTAATTATACATCTAACTTTTCGTTCATTTAACACTAGATGCAAACTAGGGTTTACTCAAAACATTTTTTTTTTCTTAGAATGCACTAAAAATTCTGTCGTCCGACTTCATAAATCAAAACGACTCACTGATTGAATCGCATAGCGCAATATATACCTATAACTTTGCCATAAAACTTCTCCTCAAAAAACAAAACCCTAGAAACGGATAAACGCATACATAAACAGACATGACAGAGAAAAAAGAAAAAGAAAGCTTACGATCACGGCCGCCGCGAACACCGCCTCTGGTAGGATGATACATAATTTCTCTCTGCCGATCAAGGTGGTTTCAAAGCTCGATAAGGACTCTCGCAAGACGGAGTTCGTGTTTATTTTGTTGAAAATTAGCCGAGTTGATACAGTTATAGTCCTATATTTCTATGTATTTATGTTAATACCCCATCTCTTAGGGATAAATCCCGAACCGACCCAAAAATTGGGCACGGTCAGGTGGGATTTTCCCAGTTAGTAAAAACTAGAGGTGGGTAAAAAGCCCGAGCCCAAAGGGCCTGGTCTCGAGACCGGCTCAAGCCTTGGAGAGAGGTGATCGGGCCTAGGCCAATCCCTCCTCTAGGGCTTGGGCTTGGGACCGGTCTCAAGCAGAAGTTGAGTTAATTTCAAAAGACTCCCTAACAAATAACCAAAACCCTATGACAAATAACAAAAAACCGTTACAATATATGAAATACATAATAAATTTAGGATTTAAAATAATTTTTAAAAAATCAAAAGGAAAAAAAGACCTATGAGGGAAAGTGTAATAATACTTTGTTGTTTTGCACTTTCCCCTCACGCCTAACCTATAAAAACAACAAAGCTACGGACACCGAAAAAGTTGCACCGAAATTGTGTACCGGCCTACGTGTAATACGCCTCTAATTTTTTTTACAATTTTTTTCTAGTGAACGGCCGTCCATCAAATTTGGATGGCCGTTCACTCACATGGACGTCCGTCCATATTATATGGACGAGTGTCCATATACAAGGGACGGGTGTCCCCATTTAAAGGATGCCCGTTCCTGATTAAAATACAATTAAAAAATTTGTTAAACATTAGGGACGGCCGTCCATCCATTATGGACGGCCGTCCATTAATTTTGGACGGGCGCCCACAAATAATGAACGCCCGTCCTTCACCCAAATATGAAAAAAAAAAAATCTTTGGGGATGCCCATCCACCAATTGTGGACGGCCGTCCCTTACTTTTGGACGGGCGTCCGTAAGAAATGGACGCTCGTCCACTATTTTGCTTTTACAAATTAAAAAAAAAAACTCTTTGGATGGCCGTCCCAAAATTATGGACAGCCGTCCTTTCACTGTGGACTGGCGTCCGTTAGTAATGGACGCCCGTCCATTATTTGGCTTTTACAAATCTAAATAAAAACGATGGACGGCCATCCTTTTATTGTGGACGGGCGTCTGTAAGTAATGGACGCTTGTCCAAAAGTAATTCGTAAGAAAAAAAATTTTTAACACTAGACGGTCGTCCCTAAATGGTGGACGGCCGTCCCTTCATTGTGGACGGGCGTCCATACTTAATGGACGCCTGTCCATTCATTATGGACGGCCGTCCATAAGGGCTGGACGACCGTCCCTTATGTAATGGACGGCCGTCCAACCCTTATGGACGGCTTTCATAAAGAATGGATGGGCGTCCATAAGTAATTAAAATTTAAAAAAAAAAAAAAAAACTCGCGCTAGGTTAAAACATTTTAGGGAAGTTTGTAAAACTAAAACTGACAGCCATTACCATCTTCTTCGTCTTCCATCTGCGTTATAGGGTGTTCTTCGTCTTCACGTTGTTGATCTTCTGGATTTGCAATTCTGCGCTTGTTCTTCGTCTTCGTCATCTGCCATCGGTAATTAGACAATTTCTTTTTCAATTTTTTTTTCAAATTTTTTTTTTTTGATGAATGTGTTGAATGGAGTTGAGTTGATGAAGAGAAATCCAGTCAATTTGATGGGATTGGTTTGTGTGATTGATAAATAGAAGTGTTGTGCCATTGATACAGAGAAATGTAGTTTATTTTGATGAATGTCTTAGGCCTGAATTTGATTCTTTGCATTTACACTGCATGTAATCTTGAAACTGTTTCTGTCAAATTCAAACATTCTTAATCATGTGAACAATACGTAACACAAAAGAGGTATGCATATTCTTTTATGCAGTCAAGAATTCAGATGAGCTTTAGTTTATCATTGACCATAATAGTAGTTTAGCATCAACTGAAATTGTTACAGCTTCTGTTGAAATGATAATTAGCCAGACCATGGTTCCTAACAAATGTGATGACTTGATGATTAGCCTAGGACCATGGCTACTAACAATGTCTAAACTCAATCCATTTTAATTGCTGCATATGGCAATGAAGAGTTCTTGTATGATTCCTCTCAATATAGTACTTTTCTGAATTTCTCATGGTATAAAATTTTGGTGATGCAGAAATAGATGGGCATGATTGAGACTTGTGATGATTATTGGATTGTTGTTTGCTCTTTTATTGATTTATTTGTTTTCAAATGTGGCGTGAGAAAGGCTTGAATCTCAGCCTCAAGTTTACTCAAAAGCGACAACTTGTTGCTAATTATCATCACCACCTCCTTTTAATGTCACCTACTTATTTGAGAAACCCAGAAGCATAGGTGCATACTTTTGCTATCCGAGGTATGTGAGAGAGATGTTCCTAAGAAATATTCTCAGCTACGGATCTATTTTCCAACCACTGATGCTTTGCAGTTACTACCTCTTTTCTTATTTCTTATGATATTGGTAGCTTGTTTAACCTCTGAAATTTTACAGTTCTTTCTGTTGGATTTTCATATAAGATATATTAAGCTTCAATGCAACTTATTATTAGTGAATTATTACCTTTTAAAAAGACTATTGTGTCTCGCTGTGTTTAATGACTATTTCTTATAAATCATCTAGATGATGATCTGAATTCTTCTTTATGTTTATTAAGTGATGGTGTATAAATGGTAAAAGGTGTAAATGCTCCTCTGGGTAACTAGCTTGATATTAATCCTGAATATATATGCCCACAAATACCATAATTTGCCAAGTTAGAAGAGGCAACAAAATTAGAGGGAAATAAACCAATTTTCATAATAAATAAAAACTGGACTGAGATTCATTCATCAATTGAACTGTCGAAATGTCTACAAATATGATGTCCATACAACTGAATTCTTGATTGCATTAAAGAATATGCATACCTCTTTTGTGTGTAAATTTGAATTTTCATTTCAATGAGCAAGTTCGTATAGAAATTTTATTCAGTCTTTTGAAGTTGGTGTAGATTTACTTTGCTCTATTACTAGTCTCCACATGCTGGATAATGCCGCTATGCTGCTCATTTTTTCACAATTCGACCTTTTGCCATTTATGCTTTAGAATCTTCTTGGAAATGTCATTTCTATGCTGTATAAGTTGAGTTCTTATCTCAAAGTGTATATGTTAAGAGTAATTGGGTCTGTGTCTTTGGCAGATTATGATGACGATTTTTTTATGTATACAAGTTTTAGAAGAAAGCAGAAAATGGTGAGGGCAAAAAATACAACCATTCCTCAGGAAGGCACATCCTCATCTGCAATTCAATTTCGAGACTTGCGACATAAAAAACAATACGAGGACGTGTCGAAAAGAGATATTTGCCTTGCAAGAAGTTTGGATTTAGGACTTCTAACAAGTTTAGGTTTAGGTGATGAAATCAATGGTTGGATTAATCTTTTGAAATGGGACCGTTTTGTTAGTATGAGATATGATGGATATAGGCATTTGATATATGAGTTTTTTGGTAGTTTGGAAGTTGCAGAGACAGACAGTGATGAGTTTCAGGCGTATACAATGTTCTTTAGATTAAAGAATCAGAATTTTGTAGTGACACCACAAGATTTAACAACCTGGATAGGATTTGATTGTGAAAGTTTGGAAAACGTATCTAGAAACTGGGATTCCAAACAAGCTTGGATTGATGTTTCCGGAATAGGGACTTACCATCCACATAGGTATAAATCTACAAAGTTATAGATTCCTTCTATGAGAGTATTTCACAGATACTTGACTTTCACATTTAATGGTAGGAAAGAGACAAATGGAAATGTGACAGTTAAGGATTTATTGTTCATGGAAGCAGTAGCAGCAGGGAGGCAAGTTAATTCAGCGAAGTTATTGATTAAGAAGTTGGGAGAGATCACCGCAGAAAAAGGAGAAATATATTAGGGGATGCTGGTTACGTTAATATGTGAGAAGTTGAATATTGAGATCACCCCTGATGATGCAACAAATAAGATTACGTTTTCTACAACTAATGCGTTGGGGGATGTGACATTGAATATAATGGGTTTGATTAAAAATAATGTGGCAAGACAATGGTATCTGATTAGGGAGAAATGGAGAGAGATGCAACGGTTCAGGAAGGTGTCAGTATTCCAGAAGGGGTTACTGAAGGACAAGTCTATGTGCGCAAAAGAAGAAGAACGAGTACTGAACTTGGACCATTTGAGAACGTAGAAGATATGGCTTCTCATACTTTATAGGAAATAGAAAGCAGATTTGAGCGGATGGAAAAGTTTCAAGAGGAGTGTTTTTCACGTATTGAGAGGCAAATGCAAGAACAACATGATCAAATTCAAAGTGATTTCAACACGTTTGCATCAAGAATTGAAGAAACAGTTGACATCATTGGAGACCGCATGACAGAGATTTTCAGCATGATGAAGAACTTCTCAATAGCCTCCTCATCCTCCAGTCAACCTCCACCGCCTACACTATGATGAAGAATTTTTCCCTTTTGTTTATAAATAGATTGATTTGAGCGGATGTTGTTAATAAAGACTGTAGTTTGTTTATAAATAAATCTGTCTTTTGTTTATAAATAGATTTGTCTTTTGTTTATACATATGTCAACAACTATTTTCAATGTATATGTATATGTAATACTAGACATACCCAAAGACATAAAAATTCAAATCTCAAAAGAAACGCATATTCAAAATGCCATGTACAACCAGAGTCTGCAATGTAAAGATAATATATATTGAAAACATTCATAATAAGTTACATTAACGTCATTATCATGAATTCACTATCCTACACAATCAATGAAGAAAATACAAAAAATAAAACAACTGTATAAGCAGACAACTCAACTGCATTCGGTAGAAATTAACCAAAGCATGAAAAATTTCTACCAAATACAATTCTATATGCTTCAACCTGGCAAAAATATCAAACATCTCCCAACGAGACATGTTCATCATTTACAAACTCCTGTCCAGTATAGAAATTACTTTGTCCTGCGAGATTTGGAACCGGACCAGTGGACATCTGTCATTGTTTAACAACCACAAT